GCAGGATCATCTTACTGGTCCTGCATAATTCTCTTTAATCACCACAACTGTATACCTGGCTTGTTGGCACATGAGCCCTTTTTCTGATGTTACCTCATCTCTGCTTTGCCAAGGATTTGTTTTCCTTGTTATTGCTCTCTTTTTCAACATTCTCTGTGTTCTTGTTTGGATCCTGATTTAACTTTCTTCGACATGGTCATGCAGTCTTACTACACTGGTAGCTGTTTCACCACAGTGGATCAACGATGTTGAACACTATCATCAGGAGAAAAAAATGGTCTAGACCGGCATTTGAATATTCTGTGATATTAGACTCTGGAAGCCACAGATGGATCATGCATGGGGTTCCTGTATTATTCATAGAGATTATTAAAAAGCTAACTTGTCCTCCTCCTCCTCAGGTCTTGCTGCCTTTCATTTCTCTACATATACAGTATATATAAATAGAGTGGTTTTCCTCATTTCCCTTAGCATGCATCAAAAGAAGGACAGAGGACTGATTGGTCATGCAGATTCGTACAGGAACAAGTATGAATGTCAGACTAAGATACAGAATTTAAGTCCTTCTTTTTCAAACTGTGGCTTTCTTTTGAAAATAACATCCTCTAACATTCAGGTGGAGTCCATCTTGTATAGTTGTCAAACTTACATAAACTCCCACTAAAACTGCACAACCAGGGCCACAGTGCATTTTTATATCACTAACAGCATTTATCTTCTGCCCATTTCTCACACAAACTCTAAAGTTGCACAGAGACATGTGCATAACAAAATACTCTGCTTTTTTCATCCTCTGAACCTTCACACGTGAGAACTCAGGTGAAAGTCATTTTTCGCTTCAGTGAATCTAAATTCACCATATTAAACGCTGTAAACTGATAACACTGGAGAACTTTTTCGTGAGTGAGGGCTTAAGAGCACAAAAAGGTACTTGGGTGTGCAAACAGACCAGCTACATGTACTTCATGTTAAGCTCTTTTCATGCTCGAGAAGGTGTTGTTTTTAGAGTATTTCACTACTGTGCATTTAATGGATTTATGGGGAAAGAAGAGTTCTTGTAAAGCTGATAAAAAAATTCCTAAGACGCTGCGATGGAACACAGAAGTTACCAACTACACAAAAATGGCAATTAAGGAAGCCAATAAATGAGGCAGTGGTTTCTTTATACAACTCTAGAGGAAACCTTTAATATTAGCATATTGTGGTTGCATCCTGCCTCATGTCTCAATAACGATTAGCAGCCTTATGGCAACGGAGCACAGGTAATCACAAGGAAGCCAAATTAAAGGCGTTAAAGTCTCATATAAGTATCAATTCACTACCAAGGAGAATTACAATCAATGTCATCGAAGCAGCCAAACAATCTGGGTTGTTATCATTTATGGTTAGAGCACAATGGGAAACATGAAGCACTTAGCCAGTGCTTAGTGAAGGTTATTCTGTTGCTATGGAACGGCAGTGAGGGAAACATAGAGAGGATGGAGAGGGGAGCTGAGGGAGGGATGGGAAATGGAGGAAGAGATGTGAGACATCAGTTGTGTTGTGGTTTCTCCACACTGAAACCTCATGGGGTCTTACACACAGAGGAGAACAGCTGGCTCTTTGCACTTCCAGTCTGTGGCTATCAAAACAATCTGGTCCATTGAAATTTTACCAGATAAACAAATAGTTTTACATGCAGATGCAGAAAATACTCTATCCAGAAGAATAACAGTATGTAAAACAGCCTCCATTACACAGTACACAGTCGTCGACTATGATATGACCTTACTTCCAAATAGCAGCACTCATGGCAAAACGTTCACCGATTCATTTTAATTTCTACTTTTAGCTTAACTGCCATGGTAGCATGCTGCTGGTTACATAGTTAACAGTGATCCCGTCCAACCAGCACTGTGCCTCTCAAGTTTTGAAACACACCCTGTAAGAAGTCAAGCAGGTAAGACACATTTTGACCCCAGATGGGTTATACAGGATTCTTTTTAACAGAACCATCCCTAACTTTGAAATCTGGAATGCAGCTAAACAACACCAGTCACGTCTTTCATTGGAACAATGTAAGAAAAAATAATAGTGGTTTTAATTCAAACTGGACAGCACTCAGAGCATGCAAACATCTGCCAGGGTGGCTCACCGTCCCCATAATGCCGTTATACCTAAAAGCAATATTGCTATAGTTTGACCCTCATAACTGATCCGTGTTAACTTCGCCCTGCTTCTGCTGGGGCCAAGCTCTGGTTTCAACATCAAAACAAATGTTGCACCAAGGGAAAGGTCCTTACACATTCAGCACTGACTATCTATCCATTATTTCATTGCAACAAGGTTTTAAAATTGTCTCTCACTTGGTTCTGATGAGGGGTTACAGTAGCACCTAGCACCAAGGGCTCCAAGTTGCAACCTAGTAACACCACAACACCACCGTGAGTTCCACGTCACTTCTCAGTGGTTCACGCAGCCCCCATGTGATCAAGATGAGGAATATAAACAATGTGCTTTATGGTGCAGTGGAAACACAACCGCACTGACTTGGGAGCAGCTCAGCACAGCCTCGCCTTGGCTCAGCAGGGATGACCCATGCTGATGGAAAAACAGCTAAAGTGTGAATCCTGCTCTGGTGTACTGAACTCAGGATGATTAAGTCAACATCCTCCTTATGGAGCACCAATGAAAGCTGTGTGGTCAGTCTGTGTGTGCGTGCAACCTGTACAGACTTGCCTTCAAATGAAAAGTTCTCATATGGTTAGCGTAATCATAGACAGCTATAAAAGGTCTACTGCTGAAACAGACAAAATGCAGTCAGTATAGTTCACGATCTGAATATCCATACAGTTACTTTTCCATGTTATATTTATCAACATTTAAAAACTACTTCAAAAATTCTTATGGGACCTTTAAGAGCCTATTCACTTGTGCCTAATGTGGGCTTCTGCTCAGGTTGAGTTTGGGTGGGCCTATGCTGGGAACTATGTGAGGCCACCAAACGTTTTGCACTAACATGAATGATCAAGAGCTACGTTTCTAGAGTATCACGTGCAAAAAAGCAGACTAAGCAAACAGAAGAGTAAGGGAGATGTCAGTCAACTACAGCTTGTACACACCCACACAGTCCTGAGAGATCTACAAACAACTGAAATCACTTGTGTAGATGTACAATGGGTGTGCAGGGCCAAGGGAGTGGGTTTAGATTCCAGTGTTCAGGGAGGACGTGTAAGTAAATGCTTCAGGTCATGTATTATCACACTATTCTGGAAACTTGGATGAAACTGAGCCATCAGTAATGTTATTAGAAACATGTGCTTTGCCCACTAAAAGTCAAATGGCTATTGTGAAAAAGGCCCCTGAAGTCAGAGGCTCTTAAACCAAAAGTGAATTCTATTTCCTACAGTTACATCAATTTATCAGTCTAGCAATATTCCAGAAGAATACTACACTGAAAGGCAACAGAATGTCTGCATTATGAATGCACTACACTTGAAAGTATGTTCAATTCCCTTGATAAATTATGATAAATAATGCTGTTTTCCGTTTTTATTACTAAGAGATCTGTCGGTTTGTACTTTATCTTGCTTTTGGAGTAAAAAATAATAATACAAACGGTTGATTTTTTTGTACAAATATAATAAACATGCTGAGGAGCTAGCAGGACCTTCTGCCTAAAGGCAAGATGCCAACAACATACACCATATGGTAACTTGTATATTACTTGAGAGACGAAACCTGGGGCAAAAGACTCCAGCTTGTAAAGGTAACTGCTGTGTATTTATTTATCCATTTTATTTGGTTGAGCCTGTGTGCTTTACTAGAACAAAATCTATCACATTCTGTTTCCATTCTAACTACTGGAAAAGTGTGCATGGCTGCCCCATAAAAGGCAACATTTCTGGGGGAAACACTGTAACCCTGACCTCCTCTCTCCTGGGACTTTAAAGCTGCCATTGTAAACACCCTATTGCCATGGTGACACTTGTTCCAATCTGGCACGGCATGGCTGCGGGCTGGATTGCCTTATTAGCTAGCTGAAGGTCACCAGCTAACAATACTTGTGATATTTGTTGACATTTTGCAAATGGACCTCACTGCATGGCCACTGTCTGTGTGAGGGATCATTTCATGAGAAGTTTTTGTGCGGGGGGGGAACTGATATGAATGAGTTTACTGACTGAACTTGCTGTTAGGAGACAAACATTTTGACTTTGACTGTTCATCTGTGGTCCATGAAAGAGCGAACCATAATCGTCAGGGTGTGATATGCATGAAATAATTACCGGTGTTACGACATTATCAAAACTCCCCCAGCAAGAACAGAATTAAACTGTCCCATTTTCTGGAAACCCAGTGATTATCTCTGACAACTTAATCCTCCCAACACAGTGTTCTCAACGATCCATCGTCTGTGTTTGAGCACTGCTTCATTAGTCCAGTAGGTACACACAGAATACAACTCTGATAGTGTGAGGGTTTCTGTGGGGGGAGAGGGGGTAAAACTGAGGAGCCAGAGAGTTATTTGAAAGTTGTGAGTCTGACACTTTCAAGTGTGCTGTCTCTAATCAGAACACTGGTGCATATGAATGACCTCCTACTTACTTGCCATGAATATAGAATGCACTGGAGGTCTCTCTCTCTCTCTCTCTCTCTCTCTCTCTTTCTCTTAATTCTTTTCCTTGTCTCTCTTTCACACACACACATACATACACTGAACTGACAGACATGATGCGAATGCTTTGACAGAAAATGTGATGCATTACGGCTGTCGCTGCTGTCTTGTCACGCCACATTACAGAGAAGAGGACATCTTGCAACACAGTATACTGTGGGACATGAAACACACTTGGCAATGATGTAATGAGGCTTCTTAACCTGGACTAAGTTAACGTGACACAGTCAAATAATTCTTATCCACATACCTGACAAACTGGACACGCAACCCACAGGTCAAAGCACTCGTGAAATGATTTAAGCAAATAACAGTACATAAACAGATACAGTATGGACACAGTGTAGTATGCAACTCCATGCAATATTAATTAAGTCAATCAATTATGAATAGTATGTATGGTACTGCCCACTCCATGCAGGGAGAACAAACAATCTCTGCATTATCATTCAGTACAACAAATGCATGCTTTTACACAGGCTCTAGCTCTTTTGAGTGACTTTTTTCTTTATTTATCTCAAAGTGCATTCCTCTGTCTCTCTCTGTTGCTCTGTTTGACAATGTGGCTTCTCGTTGCAAAATAAAAGAAAATATGGCATGTTTTCACTGTTGACACGCTGTAAAATCCTTTAGTGAATATTTACAAGTACCTTGCTGTCTTTTTACATCTCCTCCCCTGTCTTTGTAGTCTGCTGCCTCAGATTACTATACATCTCCTGCTGCCCTGGGTCCTGACGTGTCTCTGCTCATCTTCATCACACTCTGGAGGTTTGAAAGGGGACATCAGTAGCGGGCGCAATGCAAATTTAACACTCCCAACTAGCCCTCAAACCACCAACATCTACATAAGCAAATGCCACTTGCTTAGTTGCCTTTTAAGTGATCCAACCTTAGATTTGAGCTTCTGTCCAAGATACCTTACCTACAGTAAGCTGTAGCAAAACACATAACCAAAGAACTCATCCTGCCTCCCACACACACCCAGCAGAGAAGCACCTGTGTTCTTACCTTCTCCTACAAGCTTGATTTCCAGGCCCTCCAGGGAGTTGGCTGAGTCCCCCTCCTCCAGGGAGAGCCTTCCAAACAGGCTGCCAGCCATGCTGAACACCACCTCACTCCAGTGCACACACTCTCAGTAACACACCCAATACTGTGTCTGAAGCAGACAGAGATCTCCCTCTCCCTTTCTCAGTCTGTCTCTGTTTCCCCTTCTCTCTCTGCCAAAACAGCTCCTCGCCCTTTCCCCGTTCTCCACCTGCTCTTGACGTGAACGTGTATGAGCTACTGTATGCCTGGGTGAGCGTCTTCTGCTCCGCATGAATGAATGGAGATGAGAGAGGGTTGGGAGCATGAGCAAAGGAAGGCTAGAGGGGGAGAAGAGGGAGGGAGGTATGATGCTTCCACTAGGAGGAGGGAGAAAAGGAGGCAGGACAGTTCTCCCTCCAGGCTTCACTGTGGGGGTTAACTGGGGGAACGAGCAGCAGAGGGCTGGCTTGTATGAATGAGGATCAGTCAGGGTGGCAGTGTGTAGGGGACAGACACATTTAGGGGTGATGACTCCGTATATCTGACGTCACAGACACAGCTACACACACTGCACTTATAGGGACAAGTCATGGACACTAATTGGGAAATTATACTTGTGCTTTATGCTCATAACTCGAGGAATGAACAGCATCTCTGAGCTACTTGACAGGAGCTGAAACATATCTTAATGTTTCAAAACAAAAATGACCCTTCGCTAATCATTTCCCAAGCCTGCACAAAAAATAGTCTTGCTGAAAATGCTGCTTTTTAAGTTTTGATAAAAATTTAAAAAAAAAAGACAAATTGGTTTGGAAAAACAATTTACTGTGTGTTACTAAAAACGCCAGTGATCCAGACTCAGCCCTCAGCTAGCGTACAAATCAAATGACTGACTGACAGCCCATTACAAGAAAGAAACTACACACACATTAACTCTGTGAAACAGCTTTTCTCTTTCTATCCGGCAGCTGACTGCTGCAATTTATTACAGCACGATAAAATACTATAAAGCTTTCTGTTGTAGCTTTGGCCCTCTGTTAATCAATACACCGAGACTCTTAATTTCCCAGACATCTGGCTGTGGCTTTTTCATTCTGTTATGTGTCAGGATCTAGTGTCCTCAGTAAGAAAATTAAGAGACCATACATGGAAGCTTGGCAGCGGGCCAGTTTAGAGGTGTGTGGCTGTGGACACCTTTTTCACAAACTCTACCGCTGTCTTCAACTTTGATGTTAAAGCCATACAGGTTGAAATTCACTCAATCAATGCCAACAATTAACTTCTGCAAGGGTATGAAGCTTTTTTTGGTTATTTCAGTCACACCCTTTCATCATGGAGTAGGTTTTATTAACCAGTTGCTCTGTTGCAGAATCAATGGCAACAATTAACTTCTGCAAAGGTATGAAGCTTTTTTTGATTATTTCAGTCACACACTTTCATCATGGAGTCGGTTTTATTAACCAGTTGCTCTGTTGCAAGAAACGGCGAAGTAGCTGCCATGCTTTCTATTATTGGTGTTCTTTAAATTTAGCAACGACTGCTGTCAAATGCCAAATTAAATGCCTGTTTCCCAGCAGCCTTTAAGTACAGTATTACTGAGCTTGTGGCTAAATGAAAACACACACCCCATTTGAAAGGAAATAGTCTTCAAGTAAACATCTATATTTCAAAAAAGGTTCAAGTGGATTTTAAAAATTCTGAGCATAGCACCCTGCTACTTAAGTCATCGTTGTTTAGTCATCAGTATAATAAAAACTTGCTAAATGCCTGCAAATTAAATTTGGAATGTGTATGCGTGTGCACACATTTGCACTACTGGCCACTGGTGCAGGTTTGACGTGTATATGTGCATGAGTGAAGGTCTGCAAAGGACACAACAGCAAATCCTTTGAGGCATGACTGATCTCAGACTGGAGTTTGAGCGCTCCATTAGCCGGCTCATTAAGTCACATCAGAACTCTGGAGATGAGATACATGTCCTGAGTGCTGGAACAACCACAGTATCTCCTCCCTCTTCCTTCTCTCACAAACATACACAGAAATGGCCTCGCCGTAGCAAAACTAAAGCCACTTACCGGTGTCAGAGCTGGATGTTGCCACGGGCATTTTAAAAACTGGCTCCTCCAAGTATCCTCCACGAAACTGTTTAGGTCAACTACAATGAAAAAGAGTGCAAAACGAGATGCATTAATAACATGAATGTAGTATTGATTGTAAATATGGATGCAAAATCCATTGGTTATTAGACCTCTGAGGTGGACTTAAGGCTGAAACCAGTCGTTACTGTTGTTAGGTTGAGATTGTGCAACGCACAGGGATCAGCGAAAGCCTTGATGCAACGATGACAAAGAAAGAACATCCTTTTTTGTCCTAGTCGCAGTCAACGGACTAATGCACAGCTCATTCCTAATCTGTCTGCACAAGCTCCCACGCACGACAACTGGTATCTAACTTTGTTGATGCCTAAAAATAGAACAGCTAGTTGCTCTGGTAACTTAAACAGTTTTACCAGTCTTACCTGTTGGGAATACTATTGGTGACAGTTGGAAAGCGAAGCGGTGAGTAGGTAGGCCAGCTAACGTTAGCTTAGTGAGGATCTCTGTTGATCCTAATTGATCTGTTTAACATCAGGCAGCAACAACAACAACAACAACAACAACAAAAAAGCAATAAGTACCACAGATTAACAACTGTGAGACTAAGCATCTGTTGTCCTGAAATCCCAAACTGGTGATGTGGAGTTTGTACACACAGTGAATGGCACTTAGGAGCTGAAGAGGGGACGTGGAGAACATAAACTAGGCAATCGAAGACGAAGAGAGACGGACAGAAGAGGGCTTGAGAGAAAACTATCAGGCAGGAAACCGCTGGCGGTGTGGAAACAAGAGGTGGGGAGTCAGTGAGCGAGAGAGAGAAAATGAGAACAATGGTGAGGAAGAAAAGGGCGCAGCTGATAAGGGAGAGACGGTCGTCCAAGGATGCTAATTTCTGGTTGCCATGACAATATCTATCCATGCTGGAACCAGCAATGTCACCACAGGGCCACGGTGTGTGAATGTGTGTGTGTCAACATATTTCAGCCACCTCATCACTGAACAGATTTGGAGTGGTGAAGCATCTTGACACAATGCGGAGGAATTACTCTAACCGGCCAAACGGGGGTACTATCAGTAACGTATAATGCCTGGTACATTCTAAATGTTTCCTGTCTGGCTTCCAATGAAGTTATTTAATCAAATGAATAAATACATTTCTTCCTTCAGATGCAATCTGTAAACTTAGCAGGTGGGATATTTCATTAAGAAAGATACTTTATCACTCACTAATTTATTTCCAGCCTCTCAGTTGTCATTAAACATAAAGCTCTTCTCAAGCCCAGTGGTATGCAGTTTCATTTATTTGATTCTCTGCACAGAGATCAAAATATTCCCAAACCCTGTTTGCTCAGATGTCTATGGATCCGCAGTTGTGTGCAAGCATTTTATCAACACGTCCTGGGGAAACCAGTTAAATGTAAATCCACTGGAGAAGGGCATAATTCAGTTATAGTTCAAAAATACTGATCAATCAAAATGGGAATCCTACCAATAGAGAGAGACTGTAATGCTGATCTTCATTCCTCCAACTCCTTCCACGGGCTGGAAGTGATTCATGTCAAGATACATTTCACTAATGAGAGTTTAGATTAAATTCATCCTTCTGTAAATCTGTTATCCACTATCCATTAATTCTTGCAATAACCTGGTTTATTCTGCCACGTTTCTTAATCCTGTCTATGGTTTTTGGGCTTCTATATTTAACTCCCTCTCTTTGACTTATGTAATAAATCTCTCCTCACCCACAGACGTATTGTAAACTCATTGAGGCTGACTCAGAGAGAGCTGTCACATTTTCAAGTCATTTTTTTCCATGTGTATACATTTTGGTTGAGTGTAGGTGAGATTGTTTATAATTATAGTAATTTCTTTCTTCGTTTAATTTAAATAGCTTCATTTGACTGTTTTTACCTCGTGCGTCGTTTTAGGGGGGTGACACTTAAATGTTTAACAGCTTTGACACTGAAGCACATTTTAAATGTTTTTGCAAAACTCTGATTTCTGCAGACCAGGCCCTCAGTACTGCATACCAGTCTCCCAGGCTTATTTGTGGCATCTCATGTTCGCACTGCAAAATGGTAGAGCTTGTTAAAAGTATGCAGGGACCACATGGCAGCTAAGAAGTCAAAGCCAGTTGCAGCAGAGCTTGGCAATGCTAAAGCTGGCCTGAAACACTGGGGAGGCTGGGAAGGAGGAGGAAGGATGGGCTAAAATCAGCCAAGATCTAATGATGGTGCAGTCATCACAGTTGGTGGTGTTTTCTAGCGAAAAGCCTGAGGTCTAATACCGGCTGCAACCAGTAATCAATATCTACAAACATTAAATAGGGATTCCTTAAACTAGTGTTAAGACCAATGTTGAACGGTGGTTTCAAGCAAATGGTTGAGGTCAAAAGCAGTACTCTGAGTTGTGCAGTGTTGTGTCAGTCTGTCTCTACAGTGATATCTTGTGCATCAAACTGTCTTGCTCGCCGAGTAATCTCCCCCTCTCTCTATTAGTCAGCTCACACACAACCAAAGCTCCATCTTTCTGCCTGTACTGCAGGAAGAGAGCAGTTCAATAGCACAGCTGCCATGACATCATATTTACAGACCTTTATCATATCTACACTGTCAATCTATTAAAACAAGAGGCCATCTGAGTGTGTGTGTGTGTTTCTGTACACCAATCTATAATTATATTTCAAGACATTTTCCATACTACCTAGCAAATTACATTTTCCAGTGAGGTCAAGTGTTTGGTCCTGGAAATTCAAGGGATTTACTTGGTTCAAAGTGCTTTTCCTTTGCTTTTGAGTGCAAGCCTACAATCTCTCATGAAACCCACGTGGGGCAAACTATTTTATAACACATATTTCTCTATCAGCAAGGATCCCCAGCAGTAGTTAAAGGAGCCTCCTATTTCTTTCAAGGTAGTGCTTGCAGGCATGTGGACCAAATAAACCTTGCATCCAGCATATTATGGCCTGGAGCTGCAACACCAGTGGTGGCCCAGGTGTTTGTATGCTGCGTGTAAAATGCCTTGAGCTGTTCCCACAGTGAGGTTGCATTAAAGCCTGTAAATATGCTTTCTCTCTCACACTCACACACACACACACACACACACTCAGTGACCAAACAAGTCTTAATCCACACATGCAGGCTGGCGTCAGGCCTAAAAATAACCCCTGTGCTCCCACAGGTTCAGCTTCACTCATTACTTTACAAGGGAAAACTGTCGTATCCAAGACAACCACGAGCAGCTCTTTGCCTTTTTTCTCTGGCGCTTTGCCATGGCAACAAGGGAAAATGTGTAAAATAATAAGCTGGAGCTAAAATTTGGTTTATTAACAGGTTTGAGCTACACTTCAAAACGGAGTTGCTTTTATCTGAGCAAATGATTTTTTTTATAGCAGCATAACATCACTGTTAAAAAACTGAAGAAGTGACTCTAGCAACATGTAATCACAGAGACAGATATGTGCCACAACTTAGAAGCAATCTTTGGTGATCAAAATATTATTTTTGCTTTGAAAAAATAACATTTTAAATTGTCACTGTAAAAAGGTAGTGAGAAAGAAAGGCAGTCCAGTCAGTTTATACTATTCTTACAAAGACACAGGGATGCGACTTAAGAAGCTTCATGAAAACTACCATAACAGTTTCTTTTGAGTATCTATTCGAGTATTTTTTTGAGAAAACACCTGCATATTTATGTGTCCTTGTTGTTAAAGTCTAACTTTAATGCTTTCTCATAAGACAGTATTAAAGCAATTCATTCGGTCTTGCTTTCTGGGCCTCATACCAACACTACAAATCTAAACAGTATGTAGAGGTCTTTTGAAGGAGAGGACAAAACCAAACACAGCTTAAAGCCAGTCAGTGCCGCATGGTTGAACAATTTCAAAATGCATTTTCCTGGGCACAAACACTTAAAGTTACAGTTAAACGTTGTGTTAGCCTTTAAACTCTTATAAATGATTAGCCATCAGCTAAAAGCTCTGGGATTCACTGGCCACCTAAGCCACGAGCTTCAGATTCTCAAACAGTGAGAAAGCATGAGTTACGTTCATTGTGTTCTCTGTATTAGTATTTTGCAATTCTGGTCACCTTAGTCTTGTGAGTCTTCTTTTTTATTTCAAAGGACACAGACTGTAATTAGTGCAATAAGAATTAAATGTCATGAACGTACCACTGAGAGGCTAAAGCACTCAGGCAAAGTGCTGGAGCCACACAGGAGAGCGCTTACAATCACCACCCTGCATTAATTTCATTAAAGGTCTTCATTCCTTCTGTAGTTTTTTTTTTTGGTCCTGAGGACACAGTTATAATGGAATAAACAAAATGAATATCACTGTTTCACTGTCAGTCAAATGTCTCTAGAGAGAAATGCTGGAAGTTAATCATTATTATTTTTATTACAGGGCAACTCTCCGCCTTTTGTGTAAAGCAGATTGGATGGATGTAAACATTTGGCTGATTTTTATTACATAAAGGCTACCACACCGGATCAGTACTTATCAATACATTTCAGCTGCCAGACATTCTCAGTTCTAGAGTCACACTGCTAGCATTTACCTGCTAAACACCCGTGCATATGAACACTAAAAATGTAAGTATGCAATTGTCACTTTGATGCCACAGCCTTTATATTTGGACATTTGTTCTGAAGGGGGTGAGGAGGCAGGTGTGAGAGTAAATGAGCAGGTCATTTTTATGAATGACATCACAGAGACTGGGGAAAAGATGCTGAGGCTACGTGAAGGATAAGGTCATTTTGTATATCAATAGCATTTTCAACAATTCACATACAGAGACTAAAACTAACAGTCAGTGTCCAGCCTGGATTAGCTTGTTCATCTGTGCCACAGACCTCTGCTGTTCAAAAACGATTAAAAACACATCAGTAAAACACAGCGCTGCCCCGGGCGGCACGTTTCAGATCTACCTGTGGAATCTAGTTTGGACGGGCTGTAGGTCAAAAGTCCTTCTCTCTGCCAACTACAGTTAATTAGAATTCCTGCTTGATGCAGTAATTAAGCAGTCAGTGTCTCCAAGCTGTGAAACTGAACAGGCACCACTAAAGAGGTTCTTATGTATGTGGCATCAAATAACCAGCAGACCCTCTTACATCCTCTGTACACTACGCTCTGGGTGAGAATCAAGGGTCATACAGGAACTGCTCTTTGAATTTCCAGAATGCAAAAGCAAAGAAGGGGGATTTTGTGAATTTAAGTTGATTAAATTTAATGTCTAGTACAAAATGTATTCAAATCTTAAGGAAACTGGAGTGAAGGGCACATTTTCAGTCTAAGGAGCACACTTCTGAAATGGTTAAAGTGCTTAGACAATGTTTCTGCCAGGGTAGGACCAGACCTGCTGATCTTGCAGCCAATCCCCAAAGCTGTCAAAAGCAGAGAAATTTATGGTAAACCTCCCACTTTCAAAACAGAAACCGATAAGACGGCTGAAGTTCCTGTAAACCCAGTCAAAAGCTCACTGAAATAAGACCCATCCCAGTGCGGTTTGATATGAAAATCCAGGAGAGGGATTTTCATTTTGTTACAATTATAAATTATGGATCTTTTAGGGAAAGTGCACTAAGAGCTTATCATGACAGTAGCTTTGATTTCAAATGACTGCTCCAAAATAACAGTATCATTCTGTGAACTAGCTCAGCTCCTTTGATGAACATGCTCTGTATAGATAAACTCTTTAAATGGAGCACAGCTTTTATGGTTTTTATTATTACTCCTGACAGCCCTTTTGTGTAGCACATAACCTTGTCCTTTTCCCCATTTTATTACATAACCAACATAAATCTAACACAGACGTGTATTCATGTTACCATTACATCATTTAAACATTTATACATCATGTTCATGATCCAATTTTGCACTGGCTCAACATCCTGGTCAATATGGAGTGTTTCTTAATCCAGATATCTTTTAAGTAATCTTTAAAAAGTGTCCATAGTTGTTCCAGTTCATCCTCATCGTAAGATGCCTGTAAGGCTGCTCGCTCCATCATGTAGCTAGTTACTTAAACAAAAACAGCTACGTTTAAACTCCATCACAAAATTTCCTTATTTCTGGACACTGCCATTAAAGATGTATTGATGTTCCTTTCTCTTCACATCCATAACAACAAAATGTTCAATGCATTTGAGTTCATTTTGTTCGGCTTCTGTGGAGTTATGTTTAGTTTGTACCACATTCGGATAAACAATTTGCGAGTCACATTATAGCGGCCCACTGCTCCACTGGTAGGTGTTTTCCCATATCACCTTCCCATCGTGATTTAATTTTATCCATGCTAACAGAAAGAGATATTAGCTTATGAAGTTTTGATACTATGCATTCATTTCAGTGTTTCCAATTTCTTATCTGTATCGTAGTCAGAGGCCAGTTACATGACTTATTTGTTCCTGTAATATCGATTTCATTCCGAAAATACTGTAAGAAACACAGATCCTTAAAGTTAAAATTTGCTTTAATTTCTCTCCTGCTTCATAATTTGACCCACATTTATGACACTGTGTTTTTTCCATTTGTTAATATCCAGCGTTTTCCTCCGGCAGCAGGTGGTGGGTTCTCCCATAATGGACATGAAGCCAGTGTCTAACCATTAACTGCACACCTCTTTTTTTCTTTTCTTAGCTGTTTTACATTAAATGCCACTGAATGGGTTCTGAATCTTTACATTAACATTTGTATAACACCACCATGAAGAAAGGGGCATCTTTTATATATATATATAAAAGACATTCCTAAACCTCCTTTATATATTTGCTTTGCAAGTTTATTTAACTAATTCTTGGCCTTTTATTTCCTAAAAAATGTTTCCTTTAAAATGTGCTAAGGTATAACGCTGTAAGTATTAAATTAAAATAACATGTGAACTGAAGTTCTGCCGTTGCTATTCTACTCCTGCCTTCCATCCCTGAGTAATCCCAAATGGACAGGACATCTCTACTACCACTGACAGTACATTAACTTCTTGCTGGCAGAGGTCATTAAACTACTTTGCAGTAATAAAATGTGTTCAGCGTGACAGTTTAACATCAGACAGGAAACACCATGGACTTCTGAAGGAAACTGATAAGCACCAGTTCATTATGCTCCTGTTTTACTGAGTGTAACTTTAAACATTTCTAAGATAGAAGGCAAACCACTGGACAAAAAACAGGTTCAACTGAAGATTATCCTGAGTCAAGTGTAACTGTAGGCCCTGTATCTGGCAGGGAACTTGAAATCAAAAAATATTTATATATCAAGGTTATATTTGATTATATTCTTCTTACATTCAATATTGTAGATCCAGTACAAAAAAAACTAGGGAACACATAAAGGAACATGGAGAGAAAGGACCTCTCCTACTCTGCTGCAGTTTCATTTCTGGCTCTTCATCTGTGGCGTGTACTTTTCCAAATAAGTAAGTAAACCGATTTTAATGCTCATTTCTCGCACATACAGTCAGGTCCATAAATATTGGGACATCGACACAATTCTGACATTTTTGGCTCTATACACCACCACAATGGATTTGAAATGAAACAAACAAGATGTGCTTTAACTGCAGACTGTCAGCTTTAATCTGAGGGTATTTACATCCACATCAGGTGAACGGTGTAGGAATTACAACAGTTTGCAAATGTGCCTCCCACTTGTTAAGGGACCAAAAGTAATGGGACAGAATAATAATCATAAATCAAACTTCCACTTTTTAATACTTGGTTGCAAATCCTTTGCAGTCAATTACAGCCTGAAGTCTGGAACGCATAGACATCACCAGACACTGGGTTTCATCCCTGGTGATGCTCTGCCAGGCCTCTACTGCAACTGTCTTCAGTTCCTGCTTGTTCTTGGGGCATTTTCCCTTCAGTTTTGTCTTCAGCAAGTGAAACGCATGCTCAACTGGATTCAGGTTAGGTGATTGACTTGGCCGTTGCACATCTTGTTCGTTTCATTTCAAATCCATTGTGGTGGTGTATAGAGCCAAAAATGTTAAATATTGGGACATCGACACAATTCTATGGACCTGACTGTAGACACACACCCGTACCTGCCCATGTATTGATCCACACGTGCACACGTCTCTACACGCCCCCTTGATGTGTGGGCATGCGCAGTGGCGAGGAACGAGTGCCTAATGTCTATCCTGTCTTTGAAATGGACATTATTTCTGTGTGCTTTCACCTCCAGCCCTGCATATGAAGTAGGCCTATAGGCTGCAGTAGTTCTACATGAGGCGGTTGTGTTTACCTGTGAAGGTAACCAGCCTGAGACCAACTGGGTTGGTCAGCTGCATATTGCTTCTGATTGAGCCTGGTGTACAGGTAGCCTGACTGCGTAGCTCTGTCTTGTCCTATGCGTTCGACAAAACGCTCCAGGAGATTAGAGAACAGGTGAATCTTAAAGCTGTTTACTGTATACAGGTAATAGGACATAATTTACCAGGGAGCTCCTGCTTTCACGGGAGGCATGACATAATAACTGAGCGTAGTCACCTGGAAGGTGGACCGCATCTCCGGAACTGGCTTTTAGACAATATGAACGGTGGCCTATCTACTAACCAACGAACACCACGTTTCCTCCGTAGCCGAAAGGCTCGCCACTCACCTGGCCGGTCACCTCCGGTCGAAGTGGTTTGAGGTGTCTCCACTCGCGCTTGTTGGAGCACGGCAGGTAGCTTCTGAACACACGGACCACACAGCCCAGCCACACGCACTGCTACCTTCAACAGGAGCTCACCTAAAACGGCTTGCGCGCTCGTACATACAGCTCCATTGATTGAAAGCCAACTGGCTGCTCTGTGCGCACTGATCCTGCTTCAGGAAGGTTATGTGATGACATATGCGTGTGCCTCCGTGCGAAGTTGAAGCCTGTCCGCTGCCGTCGAAATGAACAGAAAGGCAGACTCATTTGCAAATGGGCGTTTTCTAGTGCAACAGCGGCATCTAGTGGCAACAAGAGGCAACAAGGGCGCAAAGCTACAGTTCAGTGAAACGAAGGGAAGCGTTCAAATCAACCACTTTATTCCATTTGAAATAGCTTGATTTTAATACAAATTATTTACATTGTTGGCCAAAGAACAAATGACTATGCTGGCAGAGGCAGACAAACAGAGACAGATTTGCATGCACATTAAGTAATTAAACAGGGAGAGTCACAAAGGTCAGTGGGAGTCTGTTTTACCACTGATCACTATACTCCAAGCTGTAAGAGAAGAGAAAAATCAGTTTAATCGAAAAATAAACACTTAGTGAATCTTCATATAACCTGAGAGCGCTAACAAATTATAAACTCAACTATTAAAATATGACATTGGAAACCCACAGTGAGTTAACTGTCACTTTAAAGAATATCAACAAGGAGCTCTGCAACAGCACCTTAAACAGCAATGTGATGCCCCTGCTTAGGAATGACAGAAATCAGTCTGACAGTATGTTGGACCACCTGTAAATATTTTAAAGCCATCCTGCCTATGTATAGACTCACATATGGCAGGATGCATTAAGCAAAAGGGTTTTACACTACTGTAGATGCAGGAATGATGTAGTAACTGCAACAAGATAAAGAAACATTGGTTCTTTTTATGCAGGTCTTAAAATCATAGTGTAGAGCATCAGCTGTCACTGATCAGACCTCCCCACACTGCTAACAGTGCTTTTATCAAATATTAGGCAGTCACACATATGATATTCATCACTGAATACAGCAACAGACTGACAAAACCACCAGGTTTTCTTTGCTCCTGTGTTATTTTAAGGGCTTTTAAACCTTGGAAATTTGTCTTTGGTTTTAGGTGAAATACTTAGATTTGTTAGCTTCAGTATGAAGTCACTGGTATCGATATCAGAGACATTTTCTGTGTGTTTGTCTCACCGTGGTTCAGTGTCTTGACTTGAATCAGCCCCAAACAGCAGCCACGCCATCGCCTGCTCAGGGGTTGACCTCTTCCCATACCTGGAGGAAATCCAAACACCGGCATGAAATGACTGCAGCTCAACATCAACTGGAGATCTGTATTCAGGAGCAATCTTTTTCTGTTCTACACCCGCAGGCACTCAGCCAGCTGGAGTGACCCCATCAGCCCGGTTATGAATTTCAACTATGAGACATATTTTTTCGAGAATCGAGCATGTTGAGTCCAGTCACAAATCAGATGTGCAATTATCTGAGAGAAAAGGAGAGTTTTCCAGTTCACTTGTGTCCAGCGAGCTCCTCCGACTGAATCTGCCCGAGTGTGCGGCACACGCAGCGCTTTGAGTGCAATGACAGATCCAGCCTCTTTAATCACAGAGCAGGAGGGTCGATGATGAAACTATACTCAGTTTCTATCACAGGAAAACTGTGGACCCTCAAGTTTCTGTATTTAATAACCATTAACAAAACTAATCTTAACCCTATTTTAAAGGATCAGGGGCCTGTCCTCAGCCTCATTATGTCTCATAACAAACAGCAATGCATTGTTATCTGCAGCATAATGAGCTCCTCAGGTTGCTGGACAGGAGCTGGTCTCAGCAGCATCTGAAACGCACTGATACAAGGCCTGGTGCCACAGTCAGATGGCTCATTCTCATTTTATCTCCTTTTAATTCAGGTGATATGTGTGATTGAGTTAAGAGTTAATTATGTGGAAAACCCAGACAATGCTCTTAGATTTTTGTTCAGAATGCTATTAAATAAACTCTGGCTTATCTGGTTTGTTTAATTAAAAACAAAATAGGAAAGAACAAAGGAGAGGTGTTGTAATGAAATGTGACTGGGTGAACCTGACCCACCTCTGCCTGGTGATAAGGTTGACATAATGCCTGACGGCTGCGTGGTACTTGGCCCAGTCCTCCGGTGAGGCTTTGCTCCCTGGGCTCTCCGGTTTGGGAGGGTATGCGTCCGCGAAGCTGCTCCAACACACCAGCAAGCAAACGAGGAGCGCTGCGAGCATCAGCCACGATCTCAGCATGTTGGCCATCTGAGGAGAAAATGGTGTGATTTTCTAAAAAAAAAAAAAAATTCCACAAAATAACTTGATTTACCTTCTGTTGAAGCCAAAAGCTTCTATTATTTTGTGGTCTATGGGTCTGTTCCATTTCACATAAGCACCCCAATGCATCAAATATCTTTAAAGTATTCTAATGTTATATAATTATTGATTATGAATCTCAGCATAAATTGTACCAGAAGTCATTCTAGGATGCGTTTAAAATTCAAAGTAAGAGAAACGTAAGGCAACTCACATTCTGACAGTTGTCTCCTGATGTAGTCACCAGTGGTGCCCTGTCTGCTGCTCTGCTCAGTTCACATGTTTATATAGGGTGGGATGGATACCTGCTGCGCACTGGCTAACACATGACCACACCTCTTGCACTGTCATTCAAGGGGGTCACTTATCTTGGCACAAGCCTTGCTGAAGGTTATTTTGTATGATAAAGATGCTTATTTCTCTTGGAGGTTTGTTTGTGAATTTGAAAATTGAAGGTAATTTACTGTGGTAAATTGTGTTGCTTTGTAATGAAATATTTCATTGATTTCACCCTCCTAGAGGTGTTACCTGCAGCTGTCAGTGAAGAGCCTGGAACAAGCCAAAGGAGGTGGTAATGAAGGGTCAGAGGTCATTGAGACAGCACTGGATTCTGAAGACTCGCTGGCAGAATTAAACCTACAGGAAGAGCTTCAGGAAGCAATAAGACAGACTGTCTCTTTGCAAATAGAAGTCCCACAGGAACAAGAGTACCTTCAGGAGATATTAGAACTATTCAAGGACGCAGAGCCTGAGGAGACAACAAACAGGCCAGAAGACGATGAGGAAGTGTCGCTTGAGCCAGAAGAAAAAGTATCCTGGTGCAGGAAAAAAAGAGTACAGGGACTCTACTCATTATTCTTTAGTGACTTAGACTTCATTCGGACTCGAGGTTTAGTGACTCGACTACGGCCCTGCTTACTTTCACAAATATTTATCAAATATTTGGAATATTTGGTTGATGTAAGTTACTTGAAAGTAAGACTAATTTATAAAAGATTGCAGAAATGCCATTATACTTCTCTATTTTAGAAGCACAGCCCGTTAAGTTAGCTAACAATATAAAATAAAGTAGAAGCAAAAATGTAAAATGTCGAGTTCAACTTTAGTGCACAGTTATGCTTTAGACATGACTGTGATGCAACAACACACCAAGTAAAATAATTTGGTTTTTCAGATTAATTAGGATGCATGTCTTGCGGTGCACGGAGACTGTTGTAATCAGGACCATCCAATTGGTTTATTGGCTCCAGTCTATATATGCCTGGGTAGATAATGAACAAACACATTCAGGTAGCTACACAGCCCCCGCAGCAAGAAATGCCTGATTGTGCAGCCACTAAAACTGCAGACATGCATTGGTAGGTCAGACTTTTACATCAGTTTCTTTAGAGAATAAACACAAAACGAGATTTTGTCTAATCATTAGCCCAGACACCTTTGGTCTTCTATGATCTCTTTATTTCAGCATGCATTATTCAGATGGTGTTAAAACCTTTAATATGGTCCGGCAGTAGAAGTCATAGGCTTACACCATCCAAAGATCAATAACGCACAAAAACTAACATGGAAACAGCAGCAACATGCTTCAGGGAAAGTCATTTTGAATTGTGGCTGAATTAAATGATTCACTAAGGTGTTGGTGGATCAAATATCACTTTTTTTTTTTTTTTTTAGCCCTTACATGCTGCCTTTTCGATTTCATATCACTATAGAGACTTTGAGGGTGAGTATGAACTGATGATGCTCATAGGACATGAGCACACACTCGCACAAAAACAGCGTATACAAATACCTTTCAGGGCTCAAGTGCTGAGACAGAGTCTAATGTGATCACATTTATGACTGTGTGATGGCTCCCGTTTATCTTGGATCTTCACAGTCTGCTGTTCACTTTGTGATGATAATGTTTGTTTAATTTATTCGTCATATCCCATTTTACCCTATCAGTATAAAGGCACAGAGGATAAGCCTGCCATTAAAAACTCTTTTAGTTTTGATACATATGGTCTTTTTCTGCCCTGCTGTGAAGGAAACTGTGGTGAAAACCCACAGCTCCTTGTCAATTTTACCATTAAAGGAAAAGTTTGTTTTTGGATATACACTTAATCACGTTCTAGCAGAGTGAGATAAGAATATTTATACTCTGAAGTGAAGTCAAATTTTATTTGTATATCCCAATATCACAAATTTGCCTCAGAGGGCTTAACAGTCATCACTGCATGCAGCACCTCCTGTCGCTAAACCCTTAAACTGGATAAGAAGAAACTCCCTAAAACCCTTTAACAGGGAAAAATGGATGAAATCTGAGGAAGAGAACAGAAGAGGGATCGCTCTTCCAGGTGGACAGACATGCAACAGAAGTGCTGTCTGCTGAATACATAGTAGATGTATGACTTGATCAAAGTGGTGTCTACTCGTCTCTAGCTGTTAAACATAAGGCCACAGGCAGTTAGCTTAGCATAAACACAGGAAACAGCCAGCCTGGCTCTGTCCAAACATAACAAAATCGATCTACCAGCATCTTTAAATCCCACAATTCACCATTTTATGGGAGGCTTACTGTATGTGTCCAACCACTTTTTGGCTAGTGCACCAACTTTCTGGAGTCTCATCTAGTTGCCAGGCAACAGCTCAGACCCAACAAAAAGTGTGGCACAAAACACCCTAAAAACGGGGAATTGTACACTTTGAATTTGTACAGATCAAACAAATGATATAACATTAATAACTTACCTTTATAAGTGCTTATAGATGGATTTTAGCAGAGCGCCACAGCCACAGAGCTACGCTATAATGGCTCATTCTCAAGAGAATGTGTTTTAGCGTGAAGATACAGGAAAAGAAACATCTTTTAAAGCTTGAAAATACACTATAATGAAGCCTTTGCATGACACTAATCGAATAAAGTAACAGCACATGAATGTTGTCCTGCTGGGCTCCCCAGGGAAGTCATGGGGACTCTTCTCATGTGCTGTTTACAAAGTCATAAAACCAGTGGGCTTTCCTTTGTCTATCCCTAAGCCCTTGTCAAAAACACAACTTGATTTGGGCATAAATCTCCACTGATAGACTCAGTAGAGCTGCTACTGCTGGTGACAGTAAACAAGCAGTTAAAGCATATATGACCAAACCAGAAAGGCTGTAAGTGGATTGTGGTATTTTGATTGCACTGACCATTTCTGAGTAATTATTATACCATAATTCAAAGTGTTATTCAGAACAATTTGTGTGCTGCAGCTTTCACACCCATTGTTGTCCACAAATGACAAAATGGAACCTAAATTGTGGCTTTTAATAATCTGATGAGTTGGACAAAAAAGAACAAAGCTAAAAGTAACTATACGATGAATAAATCATCTCTCATTCAAGGGAACTGATATGTCATCTGTGTTGTAATCGGCCATTTCCCACAGCTAATGCTGGCTACCATGAACATTTGGTTAATTCTACTCTAGTAATCAACCTCTCTGCGTTCACTCTACTGCCCATAAAAGCCAATGGCAAGAAACAACAATATGCACAAGACAAACTCATTAGCTTGCTCCTGTGTTTGTAGGCAAACACTGAGAAAGTAAGAGTCATCTGATAAGGGAAAGGGCAGACAGTTAAAGTTTTCACAGTCCAATAAACTCCAGCTAATGCACTCCAGAAAAGCGGTTTAGGCTCCTGCAGGGGGGAGAAGGGTCTGAGTTGCCATGAAAGCCCAGGTAATGGGACTGTGCGGAGACGGCTCACTTCTTCTCCCATCTAATTTAATTTGACCAACTTTTCCAACTGCTGCTGGTGCTGATGATGTCAGTGACTTTGTTAGGTGGACAATTTAGATAACTTTTTAGCTGAGGGCAACAACTTGAACAAATCCCGATGCTGGAAATCTACTTATCGTAGGCATCTACCTATCCACTTCTAATGTAGCACTAAAAGCTTTTTCTTCTGAACCTGTCGGCACTTCTTTGATAGTAAAACCACCTCCATTTCCATCACATGTTGCCTGGTCCAAATATGAAAGGAAGATTACACACACACTCATAAGTCCATTCTGGTGCATGAGCAATCTCCCAGGAGAATGTCTGACTCCTTCCTGCCATCACAGACAGAAAAGGGGAAACTATAATGCGTTTTTATTTAGCCTTATCTCCAGAATGGGGGAGCCGCTAATATGAAGAGAGTGCTTTTCAGGCAGCCAGGTCTGTTTGCACAGCTTGGGAGACAAAATGAGGGGGTGGATGGCGGTCCACTACCACACTGCAATAATTCATGAGCATGTAAATGGCTCCAAAAGGAGCCACCGAGTGACAGTCAGAAGCACTATACATGACTAGTGAGCAAACAATGACATTTTTATCTTTAACTTTCACGTTACACAGGTCTGCTCTTGCTCATTTGGTTTCCAAAACAGCCATGCTTCATGCGATTCTCTTTTCCCCAGAGCAAACAGCAGCATTATGTAGCCCATTCTGGAAAGGAGAGCTGGCCAATTACAGCAATATCCTACTAACTAATGTGTTTATGAGAAAGCTGGCAACAGCAGGTTCAGGTAACTCGGGTGGCAAGACAGGTACTGGAGAGCTCGGGAGAGCTTGAAGATTTGATTCAGAGCATGTTCTCAAAGTTATGACAAACCAGGGAAGTCAGTGCCCATTTTATGTACCAAAACAATCCCCATAAAATCTAACGGCAAGATGAAGTGTGACAAAATGAAGTCAGTACTTATTTGAGCTCCATATTCTATGGGTCAAACTATGCAGAGGAGTTTAATAACTTTATGGAGGATTGGACCACTGACGGACGGACAGTGGTGCAGTGGGTAGAGCAGTTGTCTCCCAACTGGAAGGTTGAAGGTTCGAATCTCAGTGCTGGCAGTCCACGTGTTAAAGTGTCCGTGGGCAAGACACTGAACCCCCCACTGCCCCCGATGGTTAGCGCCATCGGTTGAGGCGGTGCCGGGGGTGGCTGTACTGGAAACAAATTCCTTGTGTGTAACATACTTGGCCAATAAAGGTGATTATCCTTTTTACAGTGGCCCTAATCTTCTTCTGTACAGCTCACTAGATACAAGCAGCAAAACAGCCAGCAGGCTGACTGGGGTCTCAGAGGGTTCAGTCAGAATCTCTTCCCAGTGGATGCCAATTACACAAAGCATTTTTTCCTTCTCATTTCTATGGATCTCTAAATGAAAAATATGCTCCACAGTCCAACAGATGCAGTGCACATACAAATTGTAATAACAGCAGGTGAGCTACATGTGTCTGAACTGGTTGGCCACTGATACTTAACGACCCACTGTTTTCCAGGGCTGCATGTTTCCATTGCTGTCCATCTTTAAAAAATAAATAAATAAATAAAAATCTTACCAGAGATGTCTTTTCTAGAGGATAATGGCTAAAATAACCTGCAATGGTTTGTTTTCGTTTTGACCAGCAGCAAATCCCCCAGTTTTGATGTCAATCACCATGACTCCCCTGTTTAAAGGTGTGTGTGAGAGGCCATATATCAGGCGCACCTTGGGAAAAACAACAGGTGCCAACACTGGAGTAGCCTGGAGTGTCAGTGAAAGAAAATGGTTGACGTTCAAGTGATTTGCAATCAAAGCCTTAGGAAAAATAAACACACAAAAGAAAGCAGTGATTCAGCCTACAAAACAAAAGAATAAGCGTGTACAGCCGTACTAGCGTCTCTGCTTCGAGCTAAACATTGCCATCAGTATGCTCACATGTTCATAACAATACAGATGTTTACCAAAATAAAACTGGCTAATTAGCAACACACACACAAAAACAGCTGATCATAAATCGAGGTATTGGACAAACTGAAATATTTAGTTCACCAGTTATTACAGTTCATCCTGAGGGATCATGATTCAGGGTTCCTGTTTGACGTGGCAGCAAACTTTGAAGCCATTACACAATTTAGCTATTTCCTGATTATTACCGAAGAACAAACCATGATCTCTGCTGGACCACAAAGTCCTCTGGTCTGTTTTAGCTTTAATACTGTGGCCCCAGCAAACATCCCATCAGTGCCATGAATGCTGCATCAGATTATCATTTATCAAGCCGTCTCAAGCAGCTTCATCATCACAGCCATCTCTATCTTCCACAGCCCCACCGAGCCCGCTAGCCATCTGTATTTCCCTTTACAAGTGAGATGAATGATGCTAATCAGAAAGCTCGATGCATCCCTCAGCTGCAGCCTGTCCTGCTGTAATAAAGCAGTCTGTCTGCCTGAGTAATTGCTCTCATCTGTCTCAGCCCTATGAGTGAAGACCCGCCTGTGCACAAGCACCGCTCTCTGGCAGAGCATGACACAAGTTAAATCAAAGCATCGTCCCCATTCCTGCAACCATGTTCTGACTGTTGAAGACTAAATAAATGTATATATGGTTGTGACCAATCAGAATCAGCTTTACTGACCAGGTGTGTTGGACACATGAATCTGACCCTGGTACAGTGGCTCTCGATGTGTATATACAATGATCTTCTGTAAGGAAACAAGTAAACAATAACAGAAATCAAGAAAAGAAAATGAATGTACATTAGGAAAATAAAAATGAAGTGCTTATAAATATATATACATACACAGTTTAAATGCACAGCTACTGTAGACAGAAGTGTTTGAGACATTTTTTATTAAAACATCAGATGACAAATATCTGCCACTGAAGTTTCTCTTCAAATCATCATTTGAACATTAAACAGAAATTTACCAAAACCAAGACAGGTCTCAACCATAAAATTATGCTTAATATGAAAAGCACATATATAGAGTATACATGAAAAAGTCACAAATGTGATATTCTGACAAAGCCATAGCATTATAACCGGTGGCTGTTCACATACAGTAACGCCACAGTAATGCTCTTTGTTGTCTGATGACCCACTCTCCACTCAAACCTCTTAGATGACAGTAACATACATGAAATCAGCTCCATTTTAAACACTACCTATTTTTTTCTCTAGTAGTGTGTCTACCATCTTGGGTAAGAAGGCTTCCAGGAAGTGAAAGAAGTCATGAAAAACTCCTGACTTGTCACTGATTGGCTCCAACTTGAGCACGGCCCTTGTGCTTTCTGTTCCGCCCACCATCTGGGGCTGAACCTTGAACTCCAGGGGCTCCTTGAGCTCTGGCTCTTTTTCAGTGATGTGGGCTGTGACCTGGGACTCCAGCTCTACACAGCTGCCCTCTGGCTTTGAGTCTGTATCTTTGATCAGCTCCCGTCTCACTTTCCTCCTACTAGCCCACACTGTGTGCTTCTGCACGCAGATCCAGGGAGGGAATTCAGGCTTGCCCCCTCTTGCCAGTCTTGGCTTCTTGCCTTGAGGCGACAGAGAAGCATCGCTGCCAGAAGACAGCGATCTCTTGGCACCAACCACAGCTGTACCCTGAGGGCTAGTTTCGTTTGGGGATTCAACACTGTCACAGCTCTCATTTGTTGATGTGTTGAGGGAAGCTGATGCGGTTTCCATTGTGTCAGCAGGGTCGACAGCTGAATCCTCACCAAAGACAGTGTCTGAGGAGGGCGAAAGGCGACACCTAAGAACACTTTTCAGTACTTCCTCCACAGCAGAGCAAACCTTCTGACACCACAGCAGCCGGAAACGGTCTCCCGCTACGTGCAGCTGATCACAGAGCTCTTCAGGGAGTGACGCTGACTTGAAGGGGATACTGATTGTGAGCTGCTCTGCTTTGGTATGTGGGATTTCCCCATGGGGGGTAAACAAGCGCACCAGCCCCCATGATTTCCCCTTAGAGGATTTGCATTGGTACTGCAGGCTGCGGCAATACTTCTCAGCCTCATGGCACTCCCTCTGGAAGTTGCGCTGCGAGCGTTCATTCACGTTTCCAGCTATGTTGTGGGAGAGCTCAAAAGGGTCCAAGAGATTGATGGGGCCCAGTTTGGGATAGTGGTGAGACGGGGTCTTGGTAGGCTGCTCCTCCGACGTGACCTCCTCCTGCTTTTTCTGGCTGAGGAAATCAGTGATTGGGAGTGCACGCCCCTCCCTGACAGATATGACACTACTGGCAAAATCTAACTTGGCATAGAAGGAGAAAAAGCCAGCGAGCAGGGTGCCTAGACAGGGACAAAAACACAAGTGTGGAAAGAAAGATATATAGGATCTGTAGTACTGATTTTGGCCTCACATTTAAGTTGTATTGTTTTACCAATCATCTCATAAATCAAGGTAAAATGGGACAGGACGTCTCGCTGGAAAGCTCTAGCGGCTGAAAAGAAATTAGGTAAAGGAGCTTGAAACAAAAAAACTTGAAGAAACCAGGTTACATAAAAACAAACCAGAGGAAATGTCTGAAAACCAACAGATTTCCTGCTCTTACTTACAGAGGTTCTGTGTATTCTTGCTGGGGGGCACAGCAATGGGCTGACTGGGGAAGGTGCAGTTCCAGCCCTCAATCACACACTCTTCCTCCTCACCTGCAAATATTAACAGAGGTAAAGATATGGCATCTAACTGAAACAACAGCTAGACAGAAAAATCCACTTTCTTACACTTTTATTATGCATGAACCTCAGCTGTCTGAAATATGCTAATAATTTGAAGCCGTCCTAAAAAGAAAAACCCCTTGCGCTAAACAATGAAACATTTGGAACACAAGAATACAAGCGTATTAAAAATGCTCACTAGTCTTAACCAAATGTTCTTATAAAGCAATATACATAACATGCATACACTGTGAACCCTCTGATGTCTAAATTACACTTTTGGTTTCATCGGTTTTCACAGCAATAACTGCACATCAACAGCAAAGTATCCTCTTTTTGGCTCATTACAGCCCATCAGTTCAGGGTGGCTCCACTGTCCAGTGGTGTGGAGTGACAATGAGCAGGCACTTACAGGCCATGTCTTTGAGCTGGGCCACTGTGGGGAGCACTGGAGGCTTGCAGTTTTGCAGGAAGAAGATGATCAGCATTGTCAGAGCATAGTTGTTGAGAAGGGGCCCGGCACCAGTGGCGTTACCTACACATCACAATGCAGAACGTGTGTGACAGGATGATACTGTATTATAATTACAGCAAGGCCACAGATGTGCATATGTATGTAGTGTAAAGTCAACAGATGAAAGCATGTGCATATGTAGTGTAAAGTCAACAGATGAAAGCATTAGCATCTTGTGAAGCACGCTTTTTGTACTCTTGCTTCCTAAGGACAAATGTCAATGCTAAGTGAAAAACAAAAACAGGGTGGTTACAGTGGTACATAGGAGCATCTACATTATGCCAATGTTGACAGGTCTAAGATCATTTTAGTAATTTTTGCACAATAATTTCTCTCTTTGTACAAGTTAGGTGCAATGAGGCCCTAAATGTAGAACATTTTCCATGTTACATATTCAGTTCTTTTCTCTACAATGGTGAAATGGAAAGGTAATGATTAAGAGCCAGCTTTGTTATTCACCGTGGTAAAATTGTCAGCAATATAATATGGAAAACTGACCCTGGATCTGTTATAAATGATCCGCTCCCATTTCTTTTGATAATTCAAGCAACAGTCATTGTTGCTTGTGACTGTGTTTCATAGGTTTCATTTGATGTTAAACCCGTTTTGTTTGATTATAATCATGTTTTGTTTGGTTTACTTCTAGAGAAAAGGTCCATCTGTGACCTGTTTGCTTGCCTGGTTAGTGTGTGTCCTGTGGACTGAACGATAACCGTTGGCTTGTAGTCCAAGGTGAGCACAGCCAGCTCAGTGAAACCACAGATCTACTGTAAACTAACAACCTCTGGCACAGACTCCAGAAATTAGAAACCTTACATCTGCAATATGACAATTCAAGCCTTTTTTTTGTAAAACAATTATTTCATTACTGGCTCCTCAGTGAAGAACACAAAGATTTGATTGACACAGCCTGTGCTATCACAAGCAGGACTTGTGCTGTCTCCACTTTTACCACAGCATCCAGGAACTAAGACACTGCAAATCAGTGTCCAAGCTCCCAAAATGATCATAACAGCAAGTGAAGTTCTAGTGACATCTGCTGATAAACAAATGAAACAACCGCCAAAACACACAAATTTTAGCAAACAAAAAAAGAAGTTTTTATAACAAAGATAATTGATGTTATGTTATATGCTCTAAGGTGCAGGTCATTTTATTTTACCAGCCAGCTGTTTCTGCTTGGCCCAGTAGCGGATGGTGTACACCAGAGGCCTCAGCCTGTCCTCCATCCCTGAACACAGCTGGAGGAAGCGGGTGTTCCTTACTGCTAATCTGGTGAGGAACGCCGACAGGTGAGAAAAAAAACATACAATCATTCTGTTCGCTGTAGAACATAAAACAACATTTTCCCACCACATCTGAACACCTACCTGTTGTTAATTGTGATGTCCCCCTGCAGGTTGAGCTCTCTGTGATGGAACTTGACTACTGGGAGGCGTGCACTGCTGACCACCTGGACTTTGTGCACATTGGGGACACAGCGTCTCAGGATCGTTGCCACAAGGTCCAGGACCTCAGCTGGAGAAGCTGTGGAGAGGTCAATATCAGACAGGATGGAGTCCTCGGAGCGGCTATCATCAGACATGCCCTCCCCTGCCTGAAGAACGAGGCAAAACCAAAAGGAAAACGTAGGATTATTACAAGCTTGCTAAATCATTTGGCATTTTGGCTAAAAACTATCTAGGGGGAAAAAAAGAAAAGAAAAGTTTTGGTGACAACAGAGGAGAAAAAACACTAAAAGCAACAATTACAGTATATGTACAGATGTCACACCTGTTCTGTGGTGGATCTGGCACGAGACTGGAACACCTTGGTGTTTTCCAGATCAAGGAACAGGTCTAAATCACAGGAGTGAATGCCAAAACTATTGACCGATGAACCAAATGGCAGAACCTGGCTGTCTGAAACCCATTCAAACATTGGATCAACAAGGAGAGAGCCAATTGTTTCCACATTCATCATGAACTAAGACAAGATTTCAGACTCTGTGCGTGTTTTTTCAAAGGTCACCTGGGAAGAACTCTATAAAAACCTCTTGCAGGAGTTCAACCAGCAAGCCTCGGGCCTTTTTTTCACTGTCTCCCAGCTGAAATCGCCCAACAACATACTGCATCTGTGCATCCACCTGGAGGAGAATACAGGACAACAGCGCATGTTATGTGTGTGTAATCTGATTCCATGTACTGTAGCTGGTCCCTCACTAAACTAAAGTGGAGTCCAAAGGTTTAATTGACTGTCTGAATATGCATATTTTCTTGTATAACTATGTGCCTTCAACATTGGCATGTAATGCATATTTTTGTACAGAATACTCTTTATTTGAAATAAAACTAAACGATTTTATAGTTTATATAACATGTACTGTTCTGTGTACAAAACTCAGACTCAATAATCTAAAGTCTTCACTAGCAGCGCCTAGGGGCTGTGCTGCACTTCATAACTTTCACTGGCATTATCCACACCAGATATCTGACAAAAGATGCTTACAGATGCCAACTGACACAGTTCGGGTTTGAGACGGTCAAGGACTTGCTGCAGGTTCTGGGAGTCATTCTTCTTTTTTGGAATCAGCTTGAATTCCTTCTTTTCTCGGGGTTTGACGCGCAGCTTCAGGCCCTTCATCTGATGTTCAGCACAGGACAGGGCTGCCTGTATGCTCTCAGTTTCACTGAACTGCACAATGGCATACACACCCTGTGAGCGCAAAGCAACAAAGCACAATCAGGCTACAATTGGTTTTATCAGTTACTTTCAACATACTGTTAGGAAACCGGCTGGCTGGGGCTGCTGGTATGAACACAGAGAGCAAATGTGAGGACATGGACATCACTTAAAATGAGCAGTATCTCAGAGTGTACAGCTGACTGACCTTGTCTTTATCCATTATAACATCTGCAACTGGCCCAAACTTTTGGAAGTATTCAGTTATGTCAGCCTGAGAGATGTCAGACTTAATGCCACTGACAAACACACTGTGCTCCTCCTGGGTCTTCCTGGTGGATCGCACAGTGCTCAGCGTCTGGTGTTTCCGACCTTTGACATGCTGATCCAAGCTTGGTACTGCAAGAAATTAAAACATGATTGATGTCTGATCTGAAAAACTCAGGACACATGAGTTTCTGAGATAAACACATTTAGTACAGCCATTATAACATGAAACATACAATTAATTTCATAAATGAACCATGCCAAATTTATCCAGTAAATTCAATATCTTCGGATAGTACCATATAAAGTACTCTAATGATGTATGGGGTAGAAAGTGTGCAGCATAGTACAAAATGGAAGGCACAATATCCAGTTTTGAGTTAGCGTGAAAGTCAACATTAACTTTGGAAATAAGTGTGGTTGCACTCCTACACAACTTAAGGTTAACGTTAGCATTCGCCAACAGTTTTAACCACCTGGCTAAAACCGCTCCGAGGAACATAAAATAAACAGAGAAGCAACTGAAAACAGCAGCTATCACCCGAACCGACTCGCATGTGGCTAAGCTAGCTAACATTACTTACGGTTTGGCAAGTTGACTTTGCACAGGGTGCAGTGAAACCCTCTCGGCGTCGTTCTTATGTCACCGTCTAACTCCATGATAGCAAGAATTAAATATAACGATACCACGGGAAATAAGTCTTGAACGAAGTTTGAGACCGACTGCCCTCCGTGCGCCACTCAAATCTCCCTCCAGCATCAACTCTGCGTTGGTTTCCAGTCCGTCTCCAAAATGTATCCGGGTTGTTCTCTCTTATCACAAAGTTCCCTTTCAGCTTATTTCATTTTCTGTGCCTTGCATAATGCAATTTAGCATTTACATTTAGGAACAAACTCCCAACTATAGCTTGGGCAAATTTATCCTGTAGTACTTACTAACCTATTAAACTTCTGGCGCAGGAACACAAACTACCTTTTATTTAATTTGCTACTGAAACTGGACACTGATGAACCTTGGTTAATTCTTCTCAACATTTCTAATCAAATAGGCTACAACATCTTATGTGGTATACTGTAAGTACTAGGACAATGAAGAATCAAATGATAAATAACTTAAAGCCATATAAAATGTTAATGTCTAACAGACTAAACAGGAAAAACAATGCACCCAGCCACCAGAAAACAAGTCGTGAGTACAATATATGTAGCAACAATATGGGAACCCTCAGAACCACCTTGTTTTCTGCTTTACCTGGTATAAAATGTGATCTGACCTATATTGACTAACTATAATCTATGTGTTCTTACAACATTCAGCACTGGTGGAAAACAAGTGAATCTGTGCATCTAATAACTAGTCAAACCTCCATTACCCTGTGATGACTAACACTGTGCAGGATATTCCAAAGGGTTCAGTTAATTTTCTTGCCACTATTTAAAATCAGCAACAACAACAAAAAAACTTCAGGTATTTACATCTTCAGTGTCTTTTAAGCCATTTGGTGAGTTTTCATCCTAGTAATTTTGACCTTACATGTGGATGCACTGAATACCAAAGAAATATTTGGACATTAAGACAAATTCAGACCAGACTTTCAATCATACAAAAACAAATTTAATTACTTCTTTGCCATAAAAATATTTTCCATTTCACCACTACCATAAAACCTAGAAAAAATACAAATGTTCCCTGTGAATTTGGGGGCAAAAAAACAGCATCTTCATTTTTAGTTTAATAGAACAAACTAAAATGCCTTGCATTCTAAAACATAAGTAAAAAGCAGTTGGTTTTTTTTTTAAAAGGTCTGATTAAGAACACATACAGTTGTTTATTTGTTTGCAGATCTTCCCCTTCTGGTTTTTGGCTGCATCTCAGCTTTAGCACTTTCCTTAGGGCCCACTTTGCTGGACGACTCGGCTTTGTTGGCGGTTACATCAGTAGCCTTGGCCCCTCGCCTGGCTCTCTTGACAAGCTGAGCATCAATTTTATCTGAGAGATCCTTCTCTTCAGTTTTGCTGGCACCCTTTGCTGTATTTTTGCTTTTAGCTTCAACGTGGTCTCCAGGTTTTGACTTTCTACCTCGAACTGCTCTGGCAGGTGTTACCTGTGGAATCTCAAAAACTTGCACATTTGCTTTCCACCTCACAGATCGTTTGGACACTTCTGTGCCTTCTATGGCAGCATTGGTTAGATCTTCTGAGGGCTTTGCCTGGTCACCGCTCACTGTGGCATCGCCAGTTATGGACTTTGCCACTGCACGTCTCCCTTTTTTGGCTGGCTCTGAAGCCATGACTGTGGATTCTGCGCTGTTCTCAAGAGCTGCCCCTCGACGGGCCCTCTTGGCAGGAATGGCCGGTGAATCCTTGCTTTTCACAGAAGTTTTAACCCCCCTTACTCTGCTAGATTTAATGACAGGAGTATCGGACTCATCATTTTTCTTTTCTTTAGCTTCCAGCTCAGGTTTTTCTTCTGGTACAGCAGTGATTCCTCTACTACTCCTTGTGGGTTTCTCAGTGGAGGTAGAAGCAGGGACCTCTTGGTCCACAGTGGATTCAACAGGGTTCTGAGTTTGAGCATTTTGTTTTGCTTTTTGCCTTCCTCTCCTGGGCTCTGCAGTCATGGTAGCCTGTTTATTTATCTTCAGTGGTTCGGCAACAAGTGAAGCTTCAGCTTCCTCTGGGACCATTTCAACAGTGTGGATTTCTTTTTGTTGGACATGGTCTTGCTCAGCCTTTCTGGTTCTCCTTAATTTTTTAGCAGGTTCCTGGTATTTAGAGGTCTCAGTGTTAGTAGTCCTGCAATCATTTTCTAGCTTTTCTTCTTCCTGTTTAGCATTTCTTCCCCTCTTAGCCCTGACTGGAGGCTGGGACTGCTGTTTATTCCCCACAGTGACAACTGTGTCTTCTGCACCCTCATTTTGCTCAACTACATCTGGTTTAGTCTTCCTTCCTCTTCTGGGTTTCCCAGCAGTGTTAACAGGCTGTTGAAGTTGGGCATCTGCCACAAGACACTGGTCACCAACATCTATATTTTTCTCTGGCTCCTGCAGAGGTGGTCCAACAGGTGTTGCTTTAGTTTTTCTCCCTTTAACAGGCTTCACAACAACTTCCTCTGTTGGGGGTGCAGACTCCTTTTCTTCTTGACTGGTATTTATAGATATCTGTTCACTCACAGGTTCAGTGGAAATCTCAGTCATCATTGTTTCCACCGCTTTCTCTGGTACTACTTCAGGTTCACAGTCATGGGTGCCTTCTCGAGACTTTGCATTTCTGGTTCTTGTTGTTTGCCTAACAGCAGGTGGTGCAGAAGCTTTGGTTTTCATCCCTCTTCTTCCTCTGACTGGAGCAGTGATGACAGGATCTTCAGAATGTTCTTTTGTCTCTTGTTCATTATTAGATTCCACCGGTTTTGCCCTTCTGCCTCGAACTGATTTCTTCTTAACAGTTACATCTGTTTCTGTGGCTTTGCAAGTTGTCATCTCCACTTCTGGTAAATCACCAGCTGCGGGTGCCTGGGGGACATTTTCCACAGAATCAGATGACTTATCATTTCCACTGGTAACCACCTTCAGCTGGTCACTGGAGATTTCATTTGCATCTGCAAAAACAGGAGAATGATATCACTTACAGTGGTCAAGCATTTAAAAGTTGAATAATTGATTCTTAAATACAGTACAATTCAGGATGGGGGGGGATCTTTTTTTTTTATACTGTGAAAACATATTTAAAAGGACAGAAGGACTACTTCAGTCAACACTTTGTTTAAAGACAATTCAATTGTTCCTGGTCTTGTTTTGGTCAATGGGACATACTTAACTGCCTCCCAAGCATAGAAAACACATTTGCCAAATTCCCTCACTTGGATAAACCATTGGTGATTGCAGTTTAAACACACCATGAAAACAGAAACATAAACAAGAGACTGCAAACCTTGTGTCTTGTCAGCTTGGGGGACATCAGGACTGTGAGCACAAGGCACATCTTGCTGCTCTGGCAGTGACAGACACTGTTCAGACACTGGCTTAGTTTTTCTCCCATGCTTGCGCTTTGAGGCAGCTTCCTCCTGGACTGCTGCACCTTCATTTCCTTTGCGGTCAACATCAGCTTCTGGTGCTGTTCCTGCGTCACTAATAATCTCTTGCACCATTTCAGCATGATTATCAGAAGATTTTTTGGCATTTCTTCCTCTTTTAAGCTTAAGAACAAGTTTAGAAGGCTGAGGAGCACTTTCTTCGACTGCAGGCACAACATCCGTGCTTCCAGTGATCTTTGCATTTCTGCTTCTTGTCACTTGCTTAACAGTAGGTGGAGCTGTAGTTTCAGTTTTCTTCCCCCTCCTTCCTCTAACGGGAGTTTTGACAAGATCTTTAGAATATTTTATGTCCTCTTTCTCCTCAGCTGCTTTAGATCCCACTGTTTTTGCCCTTCTACCTCGTACAGATTTCTTCTCATGGTTAGGATCACTGGCAGTTGTGTCCATTTCTGTGACTTTGCCAGTTGCAGTGTCCACTTCTGGTTGTTCTTCAGATAAATCCTCCTTTTTTGTATCAACTTTGGGTCCTTCCACAGGTACATTTGCATCTACAGCCTCCATGACATATGAGGATTCATGTTCATCATGGCTACTTGGCACCTCCTCTAGCTGGTTGACCACTTCATTTGCATCTGCTTCTAAAATAACTAAAAATTACATCAGGTTCAGAAAGGTTTTGACAGTATAATTTAATAATTTAATTTTTAATAATTCCTAGAAAGAATCATGCAGAAAAACAAAACCTTTCTAAATGCTTTAAGTTCTGAAGCTTGTGTTGTGACAATTACAATTACTGTCCACTGCCTAGATGTCCCACACTTGATTGTTTGCCAGGTTTCTTTCAGACATGGTAACAAGAATTATTTTGGGAAGGAGAAAAAAGATTTAATCAGACTTTCCATTTAAGGTTCAACAATATGCAGAATTTCCAGAACTATTTCAGAAGATATCTCCCAAACTCCATGTTTTGTGTACTATAATCTTACTGAATTAATTCTGACATAAGCTAATTTAACTGATGAATATTTGCACATTTACCTTTTGCCATGTCAACCTGGGACACGTAATCAGTCACATCTGATGGCACACTGTCTTGTTGCTCCTCATGGACATCTTGTTATATAAATGGAAAGAAAACAATCAATTCATCATTTTAAGGCAGCTTAGATAACCATTCTAATAAACGCCATTTATCACCCGTCTCAGAATTTTCTAATAGCCAACTTACTGCTTGCTGCAACTACACCACAATCCAGATGAGTCTGGTTTTCAGCCTGTTGGAAACAAAACACAATTTACAATCACTGACATACAGCAAATAAACTATGCTGACAACACTAATGTGTTAAGGTTAAATTTAGTGGAATTTAATATTCTGAGAGAAGAAAGTAAAAAAATTTGCTGCAAAATTCAATGTTAAAATGTTTAGAAAAACATCAATAAAATGACTGCAAATGTAGTTCACACAACTGTGTTGGTACCTCAAACTCATGTTCAAGCGCCATAACCAAATTGTTTGGTTTTTCCATGTTGTGATGCAAACGAGTTACACTTACAACCCCAGTAAGAAGCTTTTTGGAGTGCTCATTGCTTTGATTTGCCTAGTCATATTCTTGTTGATCACTACCTGCCAGTTGCTCTGGATGTTTTTCTGCTCTCAACACTTTAAACAAATGCCTCAGCCCCTGGACCATAACCCACCACAGAACATAAAAAGACTACACCTGCTGTTTGCACAAACTCAATACATTCCCCCTTTCTGTCATATTATATGTGAATCTGCTGCTGACTGTATGTCCTGCACATATGGTGAATTGACAAAAATATTTGATCTGATCTTTGATCAAATCTTTCCAATAAAATAACGAAGAAGGCTAACAAGTGCTTCCATCATTACATAATTTGTTACCATGTGTCCTGTGGGATCCATTGTTGGCTCCTCCATGAGCTCTTGAAGGCCTTCAAAGTCTTCCACTGGAGCATTGCCCCTCTGCCGTGGTGACTTCATGAGTCTCTTGATCCCGAAGTTATCCTCAACAGGTTTGCCTTTCTCTCTGGGAGTTTTCATGAGCCTCTTGACTCCAGTGAGACACTCCTGTTGTTCAGGCTTTTGTTTGGGAGTTTTTAGAAGCTTCCCCCTGATGTCATCTACAGGTTCAGCTTTCTGTCTTGGGGTCTTCATGAGCCTCTTGACTCCAGTGAGACACTCCTGTTGTTCAAGCTTTTGTTTAGGAGTTTTTAGAAGTTTCCCTCTCAAATCTTCAACAGGTTCAGCTTTTTGTCTCCGTGTCCTCATAATCCTCTTCACTCCAGTGAGACACTCTGGCAGGTCCGGCTTCTGTTTAGGAGTTGTTACAGAGGTTGTCTTCAAATCTGTGCACTGCTGTTCACTAGAATCAGGGTGGATCTCCACAGCAGTGGCATCACAACAGTGGCTAGATTCATTATCTCCGTTAAGGAGGCGTTTGACCGCCTCACTGTTGTATTGTTTGCCTTCTACTGTAGACACAACACTCAGAGGAGACACCATCATTTCACCTGTAAAATACATCACATTTCATTTGTTTTTGCTACTTTAATGACCAGACTGATCTTAGCATTACTGATTAGTTCAATCTCAGAAACAACATTAACCACACACTTTACCTGGCTCCTCTGGTGTGTTCAGCACTGATGGTTCTCCCACAGACGTGCCCAGACCAACTGCTGGTGTCTTGGTGCCACTGCTATCATTGATTATAGATCTCCTCTTCTTCTCATTCAGAGGAGTTTTAAACATTTCTGAAATTCCTGAGACAAGGCACAGCATAAGTGGGTACAATACAGAATTAAATCCAAATATATTGCCAATAACAAATGTTTCAATTTATTGGGATGGAAAATATAATTACCAGTCAAGTCCTCATCCATCTTCATGTTCTTTTTAAAGAGTGCAGAATTGATGACCACTCTGGGTGCAGCACCAATGGGATACACAACCTTCCGCTTGTGAGCTCTGCCCACAACAATGGTAACAGGTGAATCTGCATGTCCAGTACTGAAATGGCCTTGGAGTTTTCTTGCAGGGGTCTGGAGAATGACAGTCATCGCAGTTTTCAATGTTAACAATGCAAAGTCTGTTTAAAATGTACTGTGTTACAGAATATTATTTTCCTTAATTTTTTTAATTATTAAAAAAATATAATGAAATCAACGGGCAACACATAATAGAATATAACAAGTTAAGGTTCTACAACATCTTACTTCACCTGTGGTTTGGACACAACTTTCTTTCTTTTCTTTTTGGTGAGTGGTTTTATAGCTGGAGCAACCGCCTGAGCCTTGGTTTGCCCAAGTTTCACAATGTCTGCCCAGGAATTTATGACTGAAAGAAGAAGGGTTAAAAATTAAATAAAGTGGAGCTCCAAGTAAACTCTACTGCATCAAAATCAGAGGTTACTGAATCATATGAACAATAAACGTTATTGTCTTTACTGGGATCATTACTTTTATAGAAGATCAAAATAAGAGAAAACATTTAAATAAATATTGTAAAACCTTCTGTAATTTCAGTCAGTCAACAACAGGGTTATCTCTTTAGTGTTTCCATTGCAATAATTATAAAAGGTTCTAATAGAGGAAATAAAATGTGGTCAACCCACGTCATAAAACTGAATGGTTAAAAATAACCTGCTCCCTGCGCTTCACAGGGTATAATGGATAAGGTTGATGTTTGCTATAATGGATGGATAAGGTTGATGTTTGCTAACAGTAGAACCTCGGTTTTCGTGATGAATCCAAACTGAGTGTTTTCTGTTGTTAAGATCATAGCAAGAAAAGACCAGATTTCTCATGGAAATATAAAATGAAAAACATCTAACATACCTTTCATTGATCCCCGTGAAATGCCACTTCTTCTGCGCATTACTTTTATCGCACTCTTGCCCATACTTTGAGTCCTCCGTGAAGTGGCCTTCATGCTCTTCCTCCTCAAAGGTATTTTAGGTGTTAAGGTGACTGAAGCTATGTGGTCAGTAAGAGCGCCATCTGCAACTGGAGATGGTGTTCTGATGTGTGACACAGAGAAGCGCCCTCGCACTGTTGGGGTCTGGACTCCTGAACTCAACAGGGCTTTAGCTGGTGTTAAATCAGCGGTGGGAGTATTTTCCTGAGGCACAGGACTTGAAACTACCACAGATGACCTCTTGCTAGAGGGAGTTTCTTTACGAGCCACCTGACGTGGGGTTGTAGACTTGCGTTGAGTTTTAAGTTGTTCACTGGCATCAGGAGATGTAGCCTTGGACTTTGGAGACCTCTTTCCAGGCAATAGAGCCTTAGAGGAGGCCCTCGATTTTGGCGACTTGTTTGCAGGAGATGCAGCCTTGGGAGAGGAGGCCCCCGATTTTTGCGACTTGTTTGCAGGAGATGCAGCCTTGGGAGAGGAGGCCCTCGATTTTGGCGACTTGTTTGCAGGAGATGCAGCCTTGGGTGAGGAGGCCCTCGATTTTGGTGATTTGTTTCCAGGTGATGGAGCCTTAGAAGAAGCATTCTTAGTGCCTGGTGCCTTTTTAGGTGATGGTTTGCTCATTTTTGCAGGACCTCCTACACTGGGGCTATCTTGTTTAAACTCCTACAAATAATACATTTTTAAATGAGATTATAAGACCTTTCATAATTATATTGTTGTATCAACCAGCCTAAGTTGTCACCCTTGTTTAAAGTCTTACCTTTAGGAAGCCGATGGCTGATGCTCGTCTAAGGAGTGACTGTTTGGGTTTAGCCATGCACAAGCTTCTCCGTGGAGTGGCCCCCTTGCGCAGTGGAGAGTCTGGAGGCAGTCGTTTGTCAAATAACTCTGGGCACAGGTAACCCCCAAAGGAAACGCGTTTCTTCTTCATCTGTGGTTCGCATAAGTCCTCCCCAAATTCTCCACTTTTGCGTTTTTTGGACATGTCTTTCACTAAAAAAATGAAATAATATAATTGTACATCATTAACAAATAAAGCAGAATTTAACAATAATAAGGAAACAAACACGTTGCTCAAGAATCATGAGAGAAAATCATCAATCATCTCAATTCTAAGTGGGTGGGGGCCCATGATGTTTATTCTACCCAGAATAAAATGCAGCACTGGTTAAAGCAGCTAAATTCAAAAGACATATGATAAATGTTTATTACCTTTTTCAGCCGTCCCCGAGTTCCTTGGTGATGCCCATTCAAGATGCTCCGTTTTGAGAGAAGTAAGTTTTTGCTCTTCTTGTTCCTCAGTCACTGCAGGTTTGGCCTCCCTGCTCCTCCTTCTCACTGGTGACTTAGGTGTTTGAGAAGAAATTTGTTCAGTAACCTCTGAGACAGTAAACCTCTCGGGGGTTGAACAGCTTTTCTTCAGAGGTGAAGTTGCATCACACTTGGTGGCATGTCTGGCATCTTCAGCTGTGGTTTCAGCCATTTCAGAAGTAGCCTGGAAGGAATTTCTCTGCTTCTTAGCAGACTCTGGGGTCCCATTACCAATACTTTCAGCCTGAACTTTGGTTTCATCAGTGCCAGGAAAGACTTTAGCTTCATTTTTCCTAACCGAACAAGGATTTGGAGTGCAAAACCGTGAAGTAGGTGTTTGAAGCAGACTCACAGAAGATTTACAGGGGGTCTTGATTTCCAGAGACTTTTTGATCATTTGATACAGATCACTGAAAGGGGAGGTGGTCTCCGTGGACTCCACCTCCACAGTTTTGTGCAGGCATTGCTGGATGTTGTCATGATTAGGTCCATCTTTCAGAGGAGGGTCTAAAAATAAATAAATAAATATAGGTAAAAGGCAAGCATACTTGACATTACAAATAAAACAAACAAAAATATAAAGATTAAGGTAAAACTACAGGCAAGGCATCTCAAAAAAAATTAGCTTTATGCACTACACCAAATGTAGAACACAATGTCATTTACTCTTTAATCATCATTAACTTCAGATTTCCTGTTTATTTTATCTTAAGTTGCTAATTCAAAACAAACACTATACACCATTCACTCCCACCTTTGGACACCTCAGAGATTCTCTTTTCACCTGTTTCAGCAGTCACAGTGTCCACCACTTGCCGATCTTGAAGGACCTAAGGCATAAGAGACTTGGATTAAGACATAAAATAATTAAATTCATCAGTAGTGTGAGCAAATTCCATGTGTTGGAATGGCTGCAGTGCTTTACTCATAGAAGAAAAATAACAAATTACTGTGAGGGTTTCAGTTTTGCCTCCTTTTGAAGACCTCTTCTTTGGTGTGGGCGCAGGGGGGCATTCAAACCTGAAATGTCAAAGAGCAACAAAATGTAAAATGTAAAGAAGATCTCTTTTAAATCTGTCATCAAACTAGTTAACATCTTTAAATACATTCACCCTGTACATTAAAAGGCACTTGACGTTAATTAAGGCTGTACCCAGCTAAGAATTTTGGCATTTGCTCGTTCAGTGCAACTATTTGTTCTCATGTGTGTGTATATCTCAGACTGTCAGAAAATCAACTGGCATGAAATTTCACAATGACATTAACATTAGTAATCAAGTGCAAAAGAGTGACAGGAACATATTTCTGAGCATTTAAAAATCAATAAAATACAGCTACAATATGATGTCATATTTAAATTGACAATATATGTTGGGCTACCATATGAATTTGCCAGAATAATGAGACAGGCAGCACAATTGTATTTCTGTTGAAACAATGCTCGTATTGGTATTTTTTTTTCCTTCTGAGTCATGGTTATAGCCTGGTTTACCAACAAGTTTGAGCTTCTCTCACCAGTTCACCATCAGAACATGTTATTACATTTGATGCATGTCAGCTTACACTGCTAAAGAATATAAGAATAGGACATGCCTGCCTACAGGTACCAGCTTTCTGGCACCCAGCACATATAACTGAACATGGTTTTTACATTAATTTTGATATGTAGCCTTTTTTTTTACATTCATTTGGTTTAGGTGCTCTGCAGCCACATTTGGGTGTTGTGCCAAAACCTTTCTATGGTAGGAAAGACCCTGCATATAACTGAGAGACATATTACTTAAAGGTAAATCCTGTATTACACAAGTCTTTTGGTGATTGTAGTTAAGACAAATGTCTCAGTGACATGGATGGTGAAATAGAAGACACTGGAAAACACACCTGAAAGAACGGTCAAGAATAGTTATCATATCTCCATGCTTCAAACTCTTTGACTGCAGCAAAGCATCTCCGTTGACACGAGTTGGATATGTCGAGCTCAAATTTGTCAAAATGACCTGGGAAAAGCAAAGAGGAAAAACCACCTCAAATACAGTCTAAACAAAATAACCTAAAGCAGATCTTTTATTTTTATGTAGCTCAAGCTTTCCAGTGATCAAGTGATTTATGCAGTGCAATTATTTATATAATTAAATGATGAAAACAAACACACTAGTCAATGAAAGGTTGCAGATTGAGACATTGTGACAAGTTAATGTAGTCATGTTCAGTACGTGTTGTTTTACCTCTTTGTTTTCGTTAATGTCAATTCTGCAATGCTTATTGGAGACTTGATTAATCTGAATACGAATATCACAGTCAGAGTTCCTGTAAGATCACAAACAAAAGTACATGTTGGCAAAAGAGATTTCTGCAAGATATTAAGTGAATGTCATTACATTTACAGTGAATTAAATACTCCAAGGTCCAAAAGAGGGGTGAACTTTAGTTCTGAAGGTTTGACTATACAATAGAGAAGGTGTTGCTCTTATTGTAAGAACAGGACCAGACATGTATTTAACATTCTGATGTCACCATCAGATGATCCGCCTCCTAACCAAAAGTCTGTCAAACCCAATCTGAGGCCACACGTTGTAAATGTTTAACCAAACATAACAATTGTTGTTAGCACCACTTAAAGAAGTCATATGGTAAAAACTGGTGCAATTAAGATGAAAACAAGAGAACAGAGAGGAAATCCCATCTCAAAACGTGACATGGCAAACTCAACACTATCTCAATCACATGCATGTTACTGAACTCACCTTCCAAAGACGCATGATGTAAAAAGAGGAAACTCTGTCCCATCGCTTCCACTCTTTTTAATCACCACTAATTTTCCAAGCAGTGGCATTTTCGCAGCATTACCTAGTAACATTGGCAAACCAATATCAAAACTGTGCAGAGCTTCTAACAAGTCAACTAAACAACTTTGTCACGGTGAACACAACACCAGAGTAAAAAAAAAAAAACCTTTCTGAAATATGCAACAAACTGAATGCATGTTGTGTGTGAGTGAGTAAAGTCATTGATATGCTTAACAGTACTTCATCGATAAACTAGTGATACATGTTTTGCTCAATAGTAACAACTTTATTTGACGTTATCGCAGGTCGTTGATAGGTTACAATAAAACACACACCACATGCAATGTCGCCTCGACGGTAAACTTTGATTTTACAAGAAATAAATATCAACATACACATCACCTGAATTGCCATAGAAACTAAGTTTAGGCTATAAAGCTAAATTTGTTTTCAGTGAAAATGTAACGCTTACTAACATTAACATTAACATTAGCTCACTAACGTTAACATGAGCTAAGTGCTAAAACGTATGTTGCCAGGTTTTAAGATGGAATGAAAAACTGAGAAGATAACAGATTGGCTTTACCTGGTCGTCCTTTCAAAGATACGTCAGCTTCTTGCTATCCATAAACATCAAGCGGGATACGGCAAAGGAAAATGTACTATATTAATTTATCAGACTAAAAGCAGAACTGGCATCCTATCATATACCATAACCTACACAGTATACGCACAAACGGTTCCTTGGCGTGTCTCCCATCTCCCAAAGAGATGTTAAAATATCACTCCGCCAAACTACACATCCCCAGGTAACCCCAAAATACTCCGATTAAATCACGTATTTGAATACAATATATGTATTATTTTGTGTTGTTGTGTTTTTAAAGTTGAATATAGTTGTCTGAATAAAATTTAACTTTCATTAGCATAAAAGAAACTACTTTGTTTACGAATCTGGCGGAATGATCTCACTTCGGTAAGGAAATGGTGATTTGAAAATGTTTGAAATTCCGCGCGAAAGATTATGATTGGTTAGAACGTCACAATTTTGGTAAAAGGGTGGAGCATAGAACTTGCGACAGCTCTACTCATACTCCACACGGGCTTGTTCATGAAAGTCTGATTTGTCAAAGATATTTTTCAGAAACCTGAACAGACTCGAGCTGAATGATTCATAAACAGCCACAGCTGTATACACGCTGTCAGCTGATTAATGCGTTAGGCTAAATGAAAGCCATCATTATGTTATTAGATAGACGTGCTGTTTCTGCTACAGTATATCAAAATGTTAGTAAAAACATTTTCATATTTCCACGCTTAAAACAATATGCCCTCAAGCTAGTCCATGGCTAATAGGAAAACAAATCTATCAGTTTTAAAGGGGCTAATCTTTCCTGCAATACATATAGTTTGTTTCAGTACTTGTACGTGACTATGTTGCCTCAGTAGTACTAGTACCACATGCTAGTACTGCAGGAAGAGCTAAAGTTTGTCAGATTAGTTACTGTAGGTGTGCCACCAGGAGGTAATTCATAATGCATGAAACTAGTGCACACCAGCTAACAATTACTGTTTGATCATGGTGTTATTTTAGTGTAGACACCAACTTGTGCAGTGAGCATTAGAATATATTCACAAAACAATTCATGCACCGTGCACCATATATGCACACATGGTCCCTTTTACAGTATGTAGATGCAAGTAAAGCTAAGTAGTATTTTGTAATTTACATCTAGCCCAAGCCTGGTTCTGGAATTAGGGATTTTTAGTTTGATGTGATTACCTCAAATACATACTAGTCTTATTTTTTCCCCACAGTGAGTCTGTAAATTTTACTGAAAAATGTCTCCATAGCCACATGTGACAATTACAGGATAATGGCAATTACTAAAACTATATACTATTCACTCTGTAATGTCTATTAAACAGCAGTATATTCTAGGTTTGCTAACATTAGCTAACCATTACTTGGACTATGTAAGGCTGTGGATTCATAACCCCTTACACTATTGAATTTGAGCACAAGTGCAGTTTACTGCTTATTAATTTTACTTTAGACAGGAATAATGTGCTATTTCTTATGTAAAAGTTACATTTTACTTTAACCTACTCTTAATGCCAACTTTAAGGTCACTGTCACAAAGATTCATGGTGTGGTATTTATCTAGTTGTACTTATTTTCACCAAACCTCAGTCTATAGATATGCTGTATGAAAACCTACTGAGATAGCAGAGAATAAAAAGAACGACACGTGAATGACAAAACATTTAATAATTATTAAATGTTGGTTTTATTTTTTTATCTTTTTTTTTTGGTTGTTGTTTTCTTTTTTTATTTCCAAAGTTGCCTGATAATCTTGACAAAATTTCAACATAGTCCATACTTCTCAAACTGATGGTGTGTCTGTTGCTATTCCAGATTAGCTGTGGAGGAGAAAGTTGTGCGCTGTTCGAGACAAGTTAAGTCCTAAATGATGAAAGCAGCTTTGACCGTACAAATAAAAAGAACATAAATGACTCGAGAGAGACTACACACTGGCATCCCCTGATATCATGTTGTCGGATCAGGGCCAGCGTTTCTCTGCACAAGTCCTTGCATTCCAGGCCTAACAAAAATGAGTGACTGAAGAAAAATACAGGGGCTCAGTAGCAGAAATGTGTGTGTGCATCTGTAATTGGAGGATTTGGGGGGGGTGCAGCACAGGACACATACAAGAACAGGCCAAGCACACAAAATGATTCCTTCCTGAGACATTGGCATGTGTACAGTAATGATGGTTAAGATGATGTGGTGAAGGCGTTTTGGTGCAAAGCGAGTCACAGGGTGCAAGGTTGTGCTGGATGTGGCAAAAAGTCACATACTGGTTTGTACCACAGACTGCCAGAGAGTGATTTGTTGGACTTAGGTGACAAACATTACATTTTAGAGCTTCACTTGCCTGACCACTGACAGGGCAGAAGGATCACTACAATTTAGTCTTTTCCCATCCAGTACAGATTGATGATCCATTCAGACACTACTGAGAATCACTGGTGTTTAATACAGTGTGTATGTACACCATTCTTCACATTTGAACTCCTGTAGACGATGAGCTGCTCTAACTCACCACTTTCAGAAACATCATCTCTTTCTGCTACATGGCCAACAAAAGCTACTGTATGCCCTAACTGGAGTGCTACTTTGTTATTTTACTGCACATTATTAAAAAAAAGTTTTAAAAGTGAAGGGGGCAAAGGTTGAAATTGTTTGTGAGAGCCGCATTCTGAACAGCCAGTGACTGGTTAAGGGTCTGTCCAGTATTTAGTAGGACACAAAACATGAAAAAACTTCCTTCAGTACAAGGTACTCAAAATGTCTTTTCTTGAATCACAAACCTATAAACAAAACACATAAAAGGTATTTAAAAAAAAATCAGGTGAAGTCTAAAACTCTTCATAGTTTTAAAGAAATGAATACAGCTTATATACACAAACTCAAAGGCTACTTAAAATACACCTTAATAATGACTCTTCATTAATTTGATTTCTTGAAAGGACCTGTGACCATATCATACAAACCAGTTCATACAATCATTTCTCCATTCTCTTGGAAGAAAAAACAAACAAACAAAAAAGGAAAACAAATCCAACCTGGAATAGTAGGTGATATTCATTGCGACTTGTTTTCTGTGCACATTTGTGTGTGTAGGTCTGTGTGTGTAGACTGGAGAGAACGTTCAACATCTTTTGATTTTTTTTAATTATAATCATGTACAAATGTGATAAAACTGAAGAGTCTCTCTCAGTACTCTCGTTAGGTATGAAAAGATTCAAACAGTGAAGGAATACAACAATTTCTAATCTCTGAAAACACGTCCTCATTACAACCTGCCATTCTGCTTTGGACATGTCAGTCAATATTTCCTTAACTTTTTTATATATATTTATATATCTTTTGTATGAAATCTGTCTTTTGAAGCTGGAAAAAAGAAGAGGCCCAAAGTCTTGGAGGACAAGTCCCATGCTTGCTATCTGCCTCAGCATACAATAAAACAAAAGTGTCTGGTGTTTGTCAAGTTAGTCTGTATGCATTATCCTTGTCCATATGCATGTTCCACAGTACCCCGCCAACTCCGTTCCGTTTGAAAGTGGTCTCCGCTGTATCTAGAATTGATTCTACAAGTCTTTTGAAAAAAGGTGGCGAGGGGAGGAACAGCAGTGAGAAGGAGAGTGGAGGGGGAAGGAGGAGGAGTCATCAGCAGTGTTTGCAGTGTGGTCTCAGAGGCGCTCTGTTACCCCGGCCTGTCCCAGCCTTAACCACCCCCACGTCAGGAAAAGTGCTCCAGAGTGAGGGAAAGCAGCTTTGCCAGTCAGGGTCAAGGCCCCCCTCCTTCACCCCTCCTCTTCAGAATATCCAGAGCGGAGATAGAGAGCGTTGTGAGGAAAAATAAGCTACTATGACGACTGTGTGGCTGGACTGCTTTGGGCAGAGCTGGGGGACAGACTGGGGCTGCAGCTCTCCGGGGCAGCACCGCTGGGTCGGCTTCCTGTGGCTCCACTTTCCAGACCTTCTGAGTTCTCCAGCATCTCCTGGATGAGAGGGGGCATGGAGCCAGGGATCTCCATCTTCAGAGTGATGACACGTTCAGCTCCTGTAGTGTGTTGGAGAGAGAGGCAGGAAAATGTCAGCTATTAATGTTCTCACAGCACACAGCTATTCATTTGTTCTCTTCAACACCATTTTATGATGATATAAATTGGGACACAGGCAAATCTTAACATATAAAACAGAAAAGAGATGCAAATCAAAACTGATTTTTGAATCCTTCTCCAGTGTTTCACTCAACTGACCAAGTGATTACAGTCAACTTCATTTCATACATATACAGACACTAGTGATAGTTTCAGACCTTTAGCACTGATACTTCTCAGATCAGTGATTTTCATCAGCATCTTAGGGAACATGTGCGGTTTATGGGGCCTCCTCTTCCTTACGTAAATCTTCAGAGCCTCTAGAAGGGGCTCCTGCAGAATGTCCACTTTCTCTGCCTCTTCCAAGTCCTGACGATCTGATGGACAAAATGCAGACAAAGGGGTCAATACCATCCAGCTGTCATGATCACAGTTTGCCAGTAGGTGAAGCCCAATGAAAGACTGCAGTGTAACTGCACTGCTGCTATTTCATCCACTGGTAGCAGTGACAGTCCTAGTTTACAGGTCAGCAACTTTAATAAACTGCAAAAACAATTGCACATTTCACATTGCACAGTTCTGGGCTCTTTTTTTAGCTGGGGTTCAGACTTTTCATACCTCCACACAGCAAACAGATAGCACTTAGCAGCCCTGTTTCTGCATCATCCATCTCCAGAGGGATGAGCTGGTTGGCAAAGGCAAAAACCAGATCGGTAAGGGGACCAAACCCAGCATTATGCATCTGAGTTCGGTTTAGCGTGAGCCCATCTGAGAAGGTCATGGTGTCTTGCTCTGGTGTGTAGCGTGTACAGATCCGCAGTATCTGTGGGCAGCAGACACAGATGGGTTGTTGAGTGTTTTACATGGCAACTGGTCAGAAATGAGAACTACTACCCTGGGTAATGCTGCGTCTGGTCTTACCAGGATGTCCAGACAGGCGGCTTTGAGCAGAGTGATCTGGTCGGCAATGGTAAGCGTTGTGAAACCGGGCAGCTGCTTAGCAAACTCCACTGTCTTTATGATGCACTTGGTGGAGAGTTCACTGAATTTGTCCCACAGGTCTACATCCAAGGACACACGTCGTTCTGAGCTGTTAGTCTGTACGGAGGGGAAGAAGTTTGGAAAATGCAAGATGTTTACAGATAAAAGGGGTACCAGTAATCTGTAGGTAACAAAGGTAAACAGATCATCAGTGTCATTCTACTGACCGTAGTGTATTTGCCCAGCTGGCAGAGAGAGGGGAAAGTATCCTGGTGTGCTTTGCGAACCCTGTTAATCATCTGCTCTGTGTCGGGATTTAGCACATAGCTCTCTGTACACTCCTGCTTCTTTTCATCCTTTTTCTTTTTGTTCCGGTCATTCCTCACCGCTACAAGAAAACAAGTAGAAGAACAGAAGGATTGATATGTGTTGACAGAAATGTTTGGTGTTAGATGTAATAACTAAGCTAATAGTCACTATTTAACTTTGTGTTTTCATCAGGATCTTAAATCTGTAGCTGTTTTCACACATGAATTCCAGATTATGTCTGTGGAATCAGGTCCAGACTTTATCCAGAGTTGCCCTTTCACACATGTACTACACAACAGAAGATGCATTCTCACCTACTAGAAATACTCTGTTTGGTTTATGTTTATGCGAGGGGGTGGGGGGTGTCTGGGTAGGGCATGAAGGAGACAGGGCACGACGCAGTCACGTAGTCACTTTGTAATTTGGTCATAAACAACCCGGTCTCTTGCCATACCTTAAATTTGTCTAACGATCTTCATAACTGACGTTCCCAAATCTCATCGTGTCTCAATGTAGATATTTTTGTTGGCATCTTCACTGTAAATGATTGATAGAACTTCATGAACATGCCCACTAGCTTCAAGTGAATACTCTGGAGTATACACTGCTGTATTCTTACATGGGCTCAACTCAGAGTTTATATGGACTTTGTACTGGGGAGCAGGCGTGGTCAAGTATGCTTAATGTCTGGGTCGACTGACTTGGACATTTCACTATTCCAGTGCATGTCTGACAAGGGCTTGTATAGAGGTGCTGCAACATGTTCACAACCACGCAACCTGGTTACTACAGTGCATGTTCCATATTAGCACCACCTGACCATAAATCAAGGTAAACTGAGAAATAATCCAATGGCATTTCCCTCTAGGCGATCTGGTGGAGAATAGTGTGTTCACCCCAAATGACCAAAAAAAAAAAAAAAATCTGTTGAAGGTTTAACTCTGACACACACTTCCTGTGGAATCCCATTGCAGGCTTGATCAATTTCTCCTATCCACACTAGAGTGCAGTTTAGCTATGACTGGGTTGTGTATGTGAGTGCTGAACGTGGGAGTGGGCTGGGTGAAATGGGGTGCTAGGTGATAAATGGTGGTGGGGGATGGAGCTATCCATAAGGCTGACAAATTGCCACAGCTTTCATTAGGGGTCCCGGCTAATCTAATAACATAATATGACAAATATCCTGCCTCTAATGGTTTTAAAAGGGCTCGGTTGCTGAGCCCATACCAGAGAAAACCTTCCAGCTCTCCCTCTCCCTCACACTTTTCTCCCCCTCTCTTAGTTATACATCATCTCACTTTCTGTCACCTTCAGTGTTTTTTCCCATCCTCACTGATATGCTCTTTCTCTCTCCTTTCCAAAACTGTATTTCTTTTAAATCAGCCCACCTTTCCTAAACTCATCTCTATCTCCACTCCCCCTTGAGGTAC